ATCGTGGCCTCCCTTAATTCTGGGGGACAGGATGGTGCTGACCCATCGTGGCCTCCACCTCTATTTCTGGGGAAGAGGTTCTCTGGGTGTTCCAGGGAGGCCAGACCTTGTGCTTTCTTGAGCTTCCGTTTCTGCATCTACAAAATGAATGTGGTAATACTCCCTGCCCCACAGGGTCATTGTGAGCAAAGGGTTTTGTTCACCTGAAAGCTGTGTGGGACAGGGATGAGACCTGGGGTTTCGTTGGTGTAGGGGATTTCCAGATGAGGAAAGTCCTTTACAGGTGCCGGTTGCACCTTCTCTGTGAGGTGAAGTGACCTGTGGGTCACTGAGTTCAGCTCCCTCATTTTACAGAGAAGGAAACTGAGGCCTCTGAGAGACCAGGCCCAGGGCAGCTGCACGTAGACTTGGTTCTCTCCGCTGGGCCACGCTGCCTCTCTGGGCCGGGATATGGCAGTGACTCATCCCATGTCCCGGATGCCAAGGCATCAGCGTGTGCTTGACAGTGGGAGGTGAGTGATAAACCTGTTGGAGGAAGCGCAGAGCCTCTGAGCATCCTTCAGATGAACAGGGTAGGGATGAGGGGCCTAGGAGGGGCTAAGCGGGTCATTTCATTGGGAAGGAGAACCCCCTGGGCTGGACTTCGCTGTCCCTGTTTGGTCGCAGTCTCCTCGGGCCTGGAGACAGGAAGTGACCGGCTCGGCGTCACCAGCCGGCAACCCTTGACCTTGGCTCGTCTGACTCTGTGGCCTGGTCGCTCTGCCCCGTGCGAGGCTCTGCTTTGTGAGTGGCGGTGTGAGAGGGCCAGGCTGGCAGACAGGAAGACCTGGACTCGGGTCCTGCCCAGGACACATGATGCCCGTGTGACCCTGGGCGAGGCACTGAATGTCTCTTGGAGGCCTCGGTTACCTTATCTCTAAAATGGGGGGATGGTAGGAGCCCCCTTACGAGATTGTGGAGGGTCAGATGAGATCCTGTTTGTGAAGAGCTGTGTTCTTCATCGTAGTAGGAGAATCAGCAACCCACTTGTCCTCCTCCTCTGACGTCTCTGCTTCTCGTGTCGTTTTTAGGGCCCTGCCACTCTGCAGTTCTGCGAGCCGTGGAAGACCTGGATTTGTCCAGAGTCATTCCCTTGGGCCGTCAGCACGGCGTCTTCAACAGCCTGGAGCTGGTCTTAAAGAACATCGGTCACCTGGTCAGCCCTTACTTGTCCGAGATTCTGCAGATCCTGCTCTGCATGACAGCGACAGTGTCACACGCCCTTCAGCAGAGAGAGAAGGTGAGGAGGGCTGCGTCTGGGCTGGGGGTTTGCCTGCAGCCCCTCTGGAGCGTCCCTCCCGACCCTTGTTATTGCGGTCTGTCCACCCGCACGTTTGGTGCATGGAAAAGGAGGCTGGCATAGGGGTTTTGCCGGTGACTCCTCGCTAGGCCGTGGCAGCAGGGGAGCAGGGATGCTGGCTCACGCCTGCCCTGAGGTGCACATGATTCACCATCCACTCTTGGGGGGCTGAGCCTGTCACTTGTGCCCCAGCAACTTGTGCTTCTTGGCTGATGGATAAAGACCTGGGAGATCTGAGTCAGGAAGACTCACTTTTCCCTGAAAAGATCCAGAGCAGCCCCATATTTTGTCACTTGTGGTTCCTTCCTCATCTCTGCGGCACCAGACGCTCCTGGCTCCTCTCTGTCCTGATGTGCTCCCTGCTTTGGTTTCCCGCATTTTGCCTCGACCTTCCTAACTCCATTGCTTCCTCTTCCACATCTCTTGAGGAAGCTGCTCTCCAAGGTTCTGCCCCGCAGCCCTGTTTCCCTGCTTCTCTCCCTTAGCAATCTTGGGCTCCCAGGACCACTTCTGCGCCCGTCGCTCCCAACTCCTGACCTCTTGACCTAACACTTCATCTGCAAATAAGACATTATCTCTTAGAGTGCCTGGGTGTGCTTAACCTGGGGTCCACATAGGTGCTTTTAAAAATATTTTGATAATTATATTTTAATTAAATTAGTGTCCTTTGCAACTCAAATGAGGTCCGTAGGCTTCACCACACTGAGTACTCCTGCTCATGATGGTTCACTGTCTCTTTATTGTATATCAAGTAAGTTCATTATCACCTCTAGCCTAGCATTCAAGGCCTTCCACATTCTGCTCTCCCTCCCCTCCACATATTCTGCATTCCGTCCAGACTGGAATATTTTGTGTCCCTTGTACTCCCTGCTTGTGCCTTCACTCCTCCTCTGTGACTCCAACCCCCAGATCCCATGAAGACCCCCCCAGAGCCCCTTGGAGCTGCTTGTCCATTTCTTCTGTCTTTGTCTAAATTCCCCGCTGCCCTCCTGACCCTTCCTTCTCTTTCCCTCCAAGTCAGTCAGGACTCCACACTCTCTGGTCCCTTTGGGCCTCCCACGGCACTTGGCATTCCTCTTGAGAAACCATCATGCATCCATTTGTTTTGAGTTGTGTATGGGTCAGGTGCTCTTCTTAGATCGTCACAGGCGTCGGGTTGTGGTAGCTAGCATCCTGGGCGTGGAGTCAGGCGGCCATGGGTTCAGGTCTCACCTTGCTGCCTTCTAGCCCTGTGAATGGGCCTCAGTTTCCTTGTCTGTCAGAGGAGGTTAGGAAGAACCCTAGCGCCCCTCCCCAGGGACATCGCGAGCCTCAACCAAGACAGTCCCCCCACAGTCCTCTGCAGGGTTTAGATACCCTATAGCAATGCTAGTTAGTCTATCAGTTATAATTAGACTGACGAGGGACAGGAATGAAGCAGGAGCTGTAAAACTCCCATCTGAACTGGGGCTTTCCCCTTTGACCAGCACTGTTTTAGGCCCACGATGGGCACTCAGAAGTTGCTTCTGGTGCTGTTGGTTTTTTGACTTTTAAATGGAAGGCTTTGGTGCTTTCTGAGCTCCATTTCTGACCCATTGCTTGACTTAGTAACAGAGGCGATCTTATGCGGACTCTTGGGTTCGTTGAGGTGACTTGGCAGTGTGTGAGTGAGGGTGGTGGTGTTCAGCGAGGCCCAAAGCCCTCAGACTTGGAGGACCTTAGCTCTGCCTCCAGTCATGGGTCACACAGGGACAAGTGGCCCCTGGTCCTCTTTCCAGATTCATCATTCTTGTTGCCAGGCAGAACAAATCGCTTCAAATTATTTTGTCTTTAGATGTTATAAGAATTTGCAAAATTATGTTCATGATAACAATAATAGCTAACGTGTGTAGTGCTTTAAAGTTGGCAAAGCACTTTATAGATAGTCTCTGGTTTGGTTCTTGTAACAGTTCTGTGAGGTTGGTGTTATTATTGTCCCCATTTTACAGAGGAGTAAACTGAGGCTGAGTGAGGCTCAATAACAGGCCAGGATCACACAGTAAGAAAGTAGATGAGGCAGGATTTGAGCCTGGGTCTTCCTGGCTGCAGGCCAGACTTTAGCTGCTCTGCCAACATGCCGCCCGATAACATGCTTTAACAAAGTTAGACGTTGATCAAGCTGCATCTCTGGAGTGATGTTCAGTTTTGAGTGCGGGGACAGTTGTTTCCCCCTACCACCCTTTCTAAATTCTGTCTTTGTTTTAAAGTGGTTAGGATATCAAACAGCCTACTTGGAGGATCTCGACTGTGCTTTGTTGGCCTCTGTGTCTGCATTTAAAAAGGGCCCAGTCCTGAGCTGAAGGCAGTCTCTCTGTGATACGGCTTGTTTTCCCTCCCAGTTTTCAGTTTGCGTTGTTATCTTGGGAGGTGGAGCACAGAAATCTCCCTGGACGTGGAATGTGGGGGCCCCATTTCTCTTTTCTTCATCCCCAAATCCGATGGCGCCCTTGCAGGCCTTGCCTTGTGCATCTCCTGGGTCCACTTGTAGGTCTGCAGCTGCCTTGCAGTTTCCTTTGAGTTTAGACACAAGTTTTGTTAACTGGCTCTTCTAACAACTGGCCCTGAAGTGGAGGTTGTGTCATCTATTTTTTGACTTGGTGAGTTATTCTTCCCAATCCCCTCATTTTACAGAGGAGTAAACTGAGACTTGGGAAGGTAAAGCACCTTGCCAAGGGTCTTCCAGCTGCAGACTCCTGGCTGTGCTTTAGGAAGCATCCCTCAAAATCTCACTCCTGTCTCTGAATGGCCAGAAAGCAGTTTTGGCCAAAATGGTAGAGGAAGGAAGCATGCCGTTGAAAGTCCTTCTGACCCTTCAGAATGTGCTGCAGCCCGCTCTGTCGATGAGAATAGATGACCTTGATGTGTCAGAACTCTGTCTGAGTAGAGGCATTGATGGAACACTGCACCTGGAGTCGGGAAGATCCGAGTTCAAATGTGGCTGCCTCAAACCTTTCTTGGCTTTGTGACCCTGGGCAATTCACTCCCCCCCACCCCACCCCAGCTTCGTTACATGTAAAATGAATGGTTTGGACTACATGACCTCTCAAGTCCTTTCGCACTTCAAATCTATAATCCCTCAGAAACATTGAATGAGCTCATCTCTTAGCCCAAAAATCAATGCCAGATTACCTTGTTAAAAAAGCACGTCTAATAAACTGTTCAGTCGCGCTGCAGACACAGCCAGTCCAAAGGCCGCTCTCCCATCACTCCTCCTTCCCTTCTCTGCCTTGTTTTTCCCATAGTTAGGGATAGATTAGTGGTGCTCCACTGCCTTCTCACTTCCTGGTTCCTACTGAGGCTGCACCTGGAGCTTTGGCCTCAGGGAGCACAGGGTCCTAACCACATCTTACTCGCCACAGGATCTGGACATGCCAGGCAGAAGCACATTCTTCTTGTCATTTCACACAAACAAACCACATTCTTTTAAATAAAACAAAGTCCTTGGGGAGGGCTGCTGTCCTGAGGGACAAAGTATAGGCTTATTCTGCCAGGCTCTGGGGGGCAGAACTATAGGACCAGTGTGGGGAGAAGTGCAGGGAGGCCAGGGCAAGTTTGGGCAGGCACTTCCTTACCTGCTACAAATGATTTGTGTTCTTTGTGTCCAAAGTTCATTTGGAAATGGAAATCAGTTTGTTAGAGAAATAGTGCTGGAAAGGGCTGTTATATCCTGGCCAGCCTACAGAAGCCAAGTTTTGAGCACTGTGCTTGGAAATGGGATCCAGGTCTCTGCTGTGATGCTGACTGACTCTGGCTATGGATGAGTCATTTAAGCCTCAGTTTTCTCATGGGTAATATTGGGGATAATAGTGCTGGTGCTACGTCTCCTCCCAGGGTGGCTGTAAGGGAAGGTCCTTCAGCAACTAGGAAGACCTGTGTATGTGAGAGCTCTTACTGAGCCGATAGTATTTTAGGAGCCAGTGATCTCCTCACCTGCCCCAGTTTTACCTAGCCTCCTAGGTCCCATACATGAAAACTTTTTAGAGCACGTCTCCCCTAGTACCACTCAACTATAAGCTGACTTTATAAGATGAATGAATCTAGAAGCATTTATGTTTCTTATACACTTATGCCTCCCATGTCCCATGCACTGAGCTAGGTGCTGGGGAGCCAAATACAAAACAAAAGTAGGCCTTTCCCTCAAGGAGCTTCCGTTCTCTTGAGGGGAGACAGCGTGTGGAGGGGAGAGGAAGGGAGTTTTGATTTGGTAGGAGTGGAGTCATAGGGCAGTTGGTGTAAAAAAAAAATTTTTTTTTCAATTAATAAGCATTTGTTTTCTCTCCCACCCCATCTCTCTCCATTGGGGAAAAAAACTAACAAAACCCTTGCGACAAATAATGTATACTCAAGCAAAACTAATTCCTGCCATGGCAGCCTCCAAAAATGTGTGTCTCTTTCTGCTCTCTGAGTCCCTTATGTCTGCCAGGAGGTGGGTAGAACACTTCATCGTTGATCCTCGGGAGTTGTGGCTGAGCACTGTAGAGTCACGTCCTTTTCAGAAGCAGTCAGAGTTTTCTGCTGATGGCTGTTCTAGAGCTGGAGGAGGACAGCCGGTATGAGCTGGGGGTGAAGTACAAAGTGGCAGGGTCGGTGAGACGCCGATGAAGGATAAACTAATGTAAAGCCTGCTCTGGTGTTGTCTTGTACTCACTCACCACTGGGCGGCTGAGCTTGGCTCCTGGGCAGATGTAAAGCTGCATGGATTGACTCCCCCAGAGAAGAGGGGTCTGCTGGGGGAGCTGTAAAGCTCTCTTAGAACCTTCGCAGTGGATAGACTCAAGCCTCCCTTGGCCAGAATCACGGTGGCGTGATGCTCTTTCATACTGGCATCTGCTTTGCTATTCCGCTACTCCTGTCAGCCTTCTGTAGGCAGCGAGGGGCTTTCCTGCTTGAGCCAGGAGCGCCAGCAAGCATCACCGACTTGACTGGTTTCCCCTCTCTAAAGCTGTCAGTGTCATGAGACCCAAGGTGCCTGTCCCCAGCCAGCTGTTTTACGCAGCAGGATGCTGATTCCTCCAGTTCACTCCCAGCATCAGAGCCTCCAATCGGATCACCTCCTTGCATCTCCTGCAGAACCTTACATTGGCTTCTGTCAGGGTGCTTCTTATTAACTCCTGTGCTTTAGTTCAAGGCTTCTTTACTTCTGCTTTACGCAGAAAATCTCAAAACCCACATTTATGTCAAATAGGACACCATTATCATCCAGTTTTCCTGTGGTTCCCCGAGAGTTTTGTGATTCTGAGTTTCCCTGAACTCCGAAATCCAGAAAGTGGTCATACTCAAATTAGTTGTTGGAAAGCAGTACCATGCATCTGTTTATGTTATTATTGTTACTATTACTGTTCTGAACTTGGCTAATACCAAATAAAATGGACATTGCCATATACATAGTAGAACAGGAAAAGTGAATTGCATGTAATCTCTATCATGTATAGCCTGCTGTTCTTTTTAAAGGGGGTGCTCAGTTCAAGGTATAATTTTCAGTTTGGTGGTCATTTCTTAACGTCCATCAGTACTGTTATCTTTGAGCTGCTTTCCCTCAGATTCTATCACTGTTTTATGTGAGGGGTTGTTTTTGATTCCCAGAATTCTGGTTTTCATATGGGTACCTCGCATAAAATACTCTTTTCTTGCTCTTTTCATTAAATAAAATGTCCGCATAAGAAAAAGACAGCACCCTACACTATAGGTTTTTTTTTATCTAATCTTTTTTTCTGATCTAAAATCCCAGTTCCTTGACACAAATTCTTAAAACCAAGAATGTCTATTAAGAGAATGCTCTCTCTACTTAACTGGTCAGTGACAGAGGCATTGAATGCCAAGAATCAGGGGTGTCAATCAGAAGCCATCTGCCCAGGCCAACACTTGACCAATGATCCTTTCTACAGCATTCGCAACGAGTGGTCATCTAGCTTTTTTTTGAAGGTCTGCAGATAGTAGGATCCCCTTGGGAAGTGATGCTATCTCACAAGACTTCTTGTTCCACTTGGAGAAATCTCTCATCATTAGTAAGCTTTGTCTTACGTGGAGCTCTTAATTGTTTCTAGTTCTACCATGTGGGTCCAAGCAAAAAAAAAAAAGATTGAATTCTCTTCCCCATTAAAACCCTTGAAAGTGAAGAAAATTGTCTTATCTCCCCCAGGTCTTCTCTTTTCCATGTTAAACATTTGAGAGTAGATTATGGCTAGGACATTGTGAAGACAATGAAATCTTGTACTGCATAGCGTGATGGGATGAGCACCAAATTGGAGTCCAGAGGCTGGGAGTCTAGACTTGGCTTTAAACATAACCTTCATTAAGTGATTTAAAGCAAATTACCCTTAGAGGCCTCAGTTTTCTCATCTACAAAATGAGGAATTTGGCTTCAATCATGGGTTCTTCATCTAGGTTCTGGGACTTTTTTCTTGAAATCATCAGGGAATATATTTCCTGTATATTGAAGATGGGTTACAGTTCCCCAGGAGTCATGTCAATGCTGTTTATCTGTATTCTAAATTTAACAAATATTAAAAGGGGAGAAAAAATTGCATATACAAAATAGAACAGAAAATGAATATCATATCTGTAGCTTAGAGTCTCCATTACATGTTGTTTGCCTTTTTTTCCCCCACCACGTCTTGAAGGCTGTTGTTTGCCTAGTGACAGCTTCCCCTTTTAAGGAAGGCGACTTGCTTGGGATCACGTGCTTGTAAGCCCAAGGTTGTCAGCCTGTCTTCTGGTGTGGTCTGGTGAACAGCACCGTCTTCCCCGGGTGGTCACTGACTGCATCGTTGTGCTAAGAGAAGGCGTCTGTTTTCACAGGTACAGCTGAGGGTCGTTAACCCCCTAAAAAATCTGAGGCGCCTCGGACTCAAGTTGGTTGATGAGTTTTTTTCCGAGCAGGAGTCTTACAACTTCAGCGTAGAAGAAATTGATGCTGTTTTCCAAGGTGCTGTTTGGCCTCAGGTAAAGGATCCGTTCGCGTTTCTGTCCAGCTGATGCCAGCAGAAGGCATAGCCTGCAGACGAACGATGACAGCTTGGGAGGAGGTTGGGAGGGCCGGGCCTCAGTCAGTGTGAGCTCTGGGGCTTGGAGCCCAGGGCGTCCTCAGCAGCTGGCTCTGCCCTTGGCTGCCTCCGTGACCTTAGGGAGCCTTGCTCAGCCTTGGCTTCTTCTCCACAAGACACATCTGATGCACTTATGAAGGCACCTTAGAATTGGGCCCTTAAGGATTATCTTGGGGTCAGCTGTCTCCCCGAGAGAAGTGGATTTAGAATTACAGTGTCACACATGATGATTTGTATCTTCTAGATCACCAGACTTGCATCTGAAAGCCAATATTCACCGACTCTTCTACTGAAACTTATTCATACTTGGAGCAAAAACCCCAGGTATAGTTTTTCTCCCTTCCTGAAGAACAAAATTACTTTTTCCTGGTCAGTTGCCATCAAAGTTTGTAGAGCAAGGAATTAGTCCCTGACAACAGCTTTCCAGCAGTGGGTTATTTATGTCTTCTGCTTGACATCCCTAGCCTCAGCTGAACAAAACCTGAAAGGCAGAAGCAGTGTGGAAAGGGGTCTGGGCCATGACTTGATTTACTTGGATATTGCTGTTTTTTGAATACAGGCTTACCAATAAAAGCTGGGTGAAAATGGTGCCCCATGTCATTGTGACCCTTACCAAAAAACAAAAGAATTTCAAAGCTATCATAGGTTTTGAAGGTGCTCTTCCTCAGTAATTTCCTTATGCATCAGACATAAATTCTCTTGATTTTACTGCTCAGCAGTGTACTGTAGTGGAAAGAACATTGAACACTGGACTCAGAACCAGGAGTCCTTGTTTCTGTCCTTCACTTCTCTGAACCTCAGTTTCCTTATCTCTTAAAATCAGATAATTGAACTGGAAGACTTCACTGTCTTTTCTATCATAGTAACATGGGTGAGAAAGTGTGACTTTAGTATTATTCTTTGGCCTTTTTTTTCTTTTTAACAACTAGAAAGTGCTATAAAATTTTCTTTTCTTGAAATGTCCTTTGTTATTTTTAAATTTAAAAAATAAATTTTTATTGGTCTTTGGTTTCATGTTACCTGTCTTACTCATTATACTTATTTTGTCATACTTATTTCATTTTTAAAAAGTAACAAGAATCTATTTTTTTTCTCCCCTCACCTACATTAAGCCCCATTTTGGAAAAGAAAAATGAAAACCTTCAACAAATATGTCTAGTCAAGCAAAAACAAATCCCCCTCATTAGCCGTGTCTAAAAATATTTGTTCCTTATTCTGTCTCCTGAGTCCATCACTTCTCTGTCAGGAGTAGGGTAGTATGCATAATCATCGGTCCTCTGGAATTGTGGTAGTCACGGCATTGATTAGTGTTTTTCTTTTTTTCTTTTTTTTTTTTTTAGGCAATTGGGGTTAAGTGACTTGCCCAGGGTCACATAGCTAGTAAGTGACAAGTGTTTGGTCTGAGGCCAGACTTGACTTCAGGACTGGTGCTGTATCCACTGCACCACCTAGCTGCCCCATTGATTAGTGTTTTTCATAGGTAACTTTGAAAGACTTGAAAACTGATCAGTGTAGCTGTCAACCACTATTGTATTTATGTATATATGTGTCATATTTTTCTGTAGCCTAATGTTTTTTACATTCAAGAAATATAGATACATAGGCAACTAAAAGGAATATGTAAGACCAGAAGTCATTCCCCAGTAGATAAGGTCCAAGGGTATGTACAGAGAGTTCTCCAAAGAGCAACTATAAACTATTAAAAACATAATAAAAGGAGGCTCTGGATTGCCAATGCAAATCAGTACAATCCTGAGTTTTCACCTCACACTCAGCAAAATGGTAAACATGAAAAAAAGAGAACAGTCAGTGTTGGAGGGGTTGCAGAAAGACAGGCACACTAGTGCTCTGTTATGTATGTGTGCAGGGGTATCCATAGGCTACAAAAATAAACTCCTAACATTCAACAGCATGTCTGTAGGATGACAACAGCCCAGGAGGCAACAGTAGAAAGGAATGAAGTCCCATTCAGAATAACTCCAAAATGTACATACCATCTGCGAGTCATTCTAACAAAGTACACTTGATGCCCACGTGGATACAATTAGAGGTGATTCTTTAAGGAATAAAAATAGGTGTAACTTAAGTAGATGGAAGCCTATTCAGTCCTCAGGACTGGGCCTTGCCAATATAATAAAAATGACAATACTACTAAAATTAATGTGTGTATTTAGTTTTATGCCAATGAGATTACCAAAGGGATACTAGGTTTAAAAAAGACAGAAACAAAAAAAGGAACCGTGGGCTTTTGAAATCATGAAAAAGGATAGGAATGAAGGGCCAGCAGTGCTTCTGGACCTCACACTGTGTTGTAAAGCACTTGATAAAGTTAGAAAATAGAAGAAGTAGACCCATGGAACAGACTGGACAAGGAAGAATCAGATGTAACTGAACTCAGTAACCGAAGTTTATTAATCCTTAAAATACAAACTACCCAGCAAGGCAGTGCCTGTTAGACAGGGACTGCTGGGAAGACTGGAAAGCAGTCTGGGAGAAATTAGTCTTAGATGAACATTTTTTATCATCTCACAACTAACGCTACTGAGTGGACATATCACCTGAATGCTGAAAATCATGTCCCCCCAAAAATCTAGAAGAGAAGCATGTCTATGCATGTTTCACAGCTATGTGCAGGGGATGAATTTTTAACCAAACAAGGCATGTAGGCAATTACAAAAATTAAAATAGATAATTTTGATTGTGTGAAATCCAAGTGCTTTTTCATAAACAACATTAATGCATCAAGGGTTGCATGGGGGAATCTTCATGCCATTTATCCCCGAATGGTCATTATTTTCACGTTTTTCTTGCAGGTACTTCCCTTTGCTGGCTAAACAGAAGCCTGGTGAGCCAGAGTATGACATCCTCAGTAACGTGTTTGCTGTTCTCTCGGCCAAGATCATGTCTGAAGCCACAGCCAGTGTTGTCATGGATATAGCCGACAACCTCCTTAACATACCGGATTTTGAGCCCACAGACACAGCGTCCAACCTCACTGTGACTGGATGTGTTTACACAGAGATAACGGAAAATGTAGACGGTATGAATAGAGACAGATAGAAATCAATGTTAGGGTCATGGCATAGAGCATTGTTTGTTCCCTCCTCCCCTTCCTTTCTTCTTTCCCCTTCCTTCCCTTCCTTCTTTTAAACCAGATCTCTGCTTTTAGCCCCGTACAAAGCTCCCTCCAGCAATACAGGTCAGCAGTAGCATCAGGCTCAAAGAGAAACAAGAGCCCACCAATCCATACATAAGGATATCTGTGGGCCGCAGATTGATTTAGTTTTAAAATGTACTGTTACCTACATTTTATTGCTTTTTAATTTGTTTTGTTTAATATTTCCAAATTACTTTTTAGTTTGGTTTGGTCCACCCCCAGGAGTGCCTGTCCTAGAACCTTGAGAAATTAAGTAACTTGTCCAGGGTCACACAGCCAACATGCATCAGAGGCAGGACTTGAATCCAGGTCTCCTTAACACTGAGGCCAGCTCTCTATCCTTTATCCTATGCTAGCCTTTTGCAATCCTTGTTTTCTCAGCAGCAGAGTTTATTTTTATTTTTATTTTTTTATTAATTTATTTTGATTTGTCAACAATCACTTCCATAAGCTTTTGAGCTTTAAATTTTTCTCCCCCTCCCTCCCCAAGATTGGACGCAATCTAATATAGGCTATACATATACATTCCTATTAAACATATTTTCACATTAGTGATGTTGTAAGGAAGAATTAGAACCAATAGGAGGAACCACCAGAAAGAGGAAACAAAAAACAGAAGAAAAAAAAATAGCAAATAGTATGCTTCAATCTGCATTCAAACCCCATAGTTCTTTCTCTGGATGTGGATAGCATTTTCCATCGTGAGACCTTTGGAGATGTCTTAGATCCTTGCATTGCTGAGAAGGGCTAAGTCTATCAGAGTTAGGCATTGCACAACGTGGCTGTTACTGTGTACAATGTTGTCCTGATTCTGCTCGCTTCACTCAGCGTGAGTCCATACAAGAGCTAATTTTGAAATAGAACAAAGTCAGTAGTATCAGTCCCAATCGTGTTAATTAGCTGTGACCATTATGGCTTTTATTTTACTTTTCCCTTTCTGTAAATCTACATCGGAATTCCTGCAGATCTGTGATGTCACCTCATGAGGAGGGCACCCCCTTCCCCATTGCAGATTGCAGTGCCTGGGCAATGCTTCTCTGTCTTTATTTTCCCTGTAGAGAGCTCTCTGCTCAGTGAACTCTAGTGCCTGCCTCTTGGTCTTCCAGTGTTTCTTGGGGATCAGTCAGACACTGCTGGTTCTTTCCTTTTTGTATCCCTTATTTTCACATACCTCCAGCTCAATTTTCAAGTATATACAGAAATTAAAACTTTTAAAAAACTCTCAAAGTTGCAGTTTTGCTGTGATGGTAATATATTGCTAGGAAACCTTGACTGTAACTGAATGATGTTCACAAATAAAAGGTTTCCTTCCTTTCTTTACATTGTTCTCAACATTTTAATTGAAAATTTAGAATACTAATGTGTCAAAATGGCTACAAAAAACCAGAATTTAATGGTTTTAATGATTTAATTTATATGAATGATTGTAATTTATAATAAATTTATGTAAACTATAATGATTATAAAATCGGTATTCTATCTAGTTTAAGCAGATAGAAACAGAATAAACTGCTAAATTTATGTTTTTGTACAGTGGAAAGAGCACTGGCTCTGTAGTCAAAGGACTTGGGTTCAAATCCAGCCTTTGATGCTTGCTACTTATATGACTGGGTAAAGCCTCAGTTTCCCCCCTCTTTGGAGAGGAAATAATTCCATGGAAAGAGAGATGGCTCTAGGACCTAAGCATGAAATGCAGCTCTCCCTGTAACCTTGAACAAGTCACTTTTCCTCTGTCTTGGATGAGACAGCGTCTGAGGTCCCCCCAGCTCTTCATGTATGACTTTATGATTATTTGTCACTTGAGATGTAAGTAGGAATGATAGAACATCCCGTGCTCAGGTTCCCCTCTGACACTTCTTTTTGCCGTGCTGGCCAGCTGGGTTTCCCCTGGGCTGACAGTGAAGCACATCACCTCTGGTGGGGGCTCTCAGGATAAAGAAATTCTGTGTCAGAGCCTGGCACTTGTCTGCCTGTAGGTCAGTTTTCTCATGGCTGGCCTTGCTGTGTTGAGAGAGGCTTGTCCCTGGGTTGAATGGAGGATGGACTTTTTGACCTCTCCTCTAGATATAGCTGGTGAGTCAGAGACGGTTTTGCGGCCTGTCTGTGTGGATGGAGAAGTCTCCACCCCAGAGAATCCCAGGCTCTTCGATCCTTCTGTCAAAGCTGTAATAGTCGTACTGTCTTATCTCTGCTATCCTTGAAGATAGCAGCTGTGTGTTTGATTTGATAAGAAGAGCAGCTTGTGAAGACCAAGCCCCTGATCCTGACCTGTCTGTTACAGAATCCATCACCCTGGGCGGAAGGCTGGTGCTGCCCCAGGTGCCTGCGATCCTTCAGTATCTCAGCAGAACCATGGTCAACGTTGAGAAGGTGAGAAAGAAGAAGTACCGGGCCCAGGTCAGCAAGGAGCTCAGCATCCTATCCAGGTAAGGCAAGCATGGCCTGCAGTTTTCCCTGAATCCTGTTGATAGCAAATCCCAATGATCATTTAGACATAGTTTTCGTTTCTAAATATTTCTGTTAATAGAAAAGAGTTTTCAACTCTTGTAAGACCTTTGCTTTTAAGTCAGGCCAAGGTTTCTGTTGCCATTGTGTTAGGAGCTAGTGATAGGAGAAAGAACTGCATGAAAAGAGGTTTCTTTCATGAACCGCACCCCACTCCCACTCCAGCCCCCTTTGTGAACCAGACTAGTGATTTCATTGTTGGTGGAAACTCCCTACCCCAATGCAGCTAGGTATCTGTTACGTAGAGCCTTGGAAAGGTACCCAGGATGCTGAAAAGTCTGAAGACTTGCCCAGAGTCCCACATTCAGGCTATGTGAGAGTCAGGACTTGAATCCAGGCCTTCCTGCCTCTGAAGCCAGGCCTCTGTTAGCTTTGCCACCCTGTCTCTGATGCTCTTACATCAGATCTAATGGTGGATGATTGGCCTGCTTGACCATGGTCCTCTGAGCTGGACTTGTGATCCTGTGGGCTCTAGCACATGAGGGGGCAGCCTGGCCGGTGGGTAGGGTGCTGACTGCCATTTCAGACACTTACAGACTCTGACTCTGGACTAGTCACTGAACCTCTCTGTTCTGACTTTCCCTTGTCTCTGATATGAGGGAGGTGGACCCAGTGGCTCCAAGGTCCTTTTTGACTCTAAATCTGTGACCTTTTGATGCAGCAGTCCCAATACCTTCTGGGAGAACTGGGAAATAAACAGTATAGAGCATCAGATTTTTTTCCTCAAGACTGAAATTTCTTCCAAAGACTCAAAAAATTGTCTATTTGACAAGTGACTCGGGACCTTGGATTCTGGTTCTGTGCATTGCAAAGTGAATTGTCCAATTAGCAGGCATTTCTCAAGTGCTTCCTGTGTGAGGCCCAAGGCCACCAAGACCAACCTCAAGCAGTCCCTGCCCTCAAGGAGATGACTTTTGGTGGGGGGTGTCAGCTGTTTATCTAGTCATACATAGAGCACATCTCCAGAAAATAATGGCAGCCAAGTTTGGGAGAGGCACGAGCACATAGAGGAACGCCTGGAAAAGCCTCATGTAGGAGGAATGTTTGAGGGAAATGGGGGAAGGGTGTTCAGAAGTGGAGATGAAGCATGGGTGCACAGTGGGGTGGGGGAAGGGGAGAGACATCTGCGGAGGCTCACGGTCATATGTGAGTCACAGTGGTTGGGCCAGTTTGGCCAAACAGTATGGAGGGTGGGAGGCTTCTGAATGGCCCCCCCAAAGATCTGGTGTGAGAAGCAATGATCGGGAGCACCTGGAGTTGTTGGGGAGAGGGCCACATGCTTGGACCTGCCCTGATAACAGAGTAGCCTCACCTGAAATGCCCTGCCAGTCACGCTTGGTTTTCCACACTTAATTTTGCCGTCAGCATGTTTTTAATGATTAAAAGACCTTGCTATGACCACATGTGCCCTGTGTCTGAACCTCTGTGGGCCACAATGACTTCACCTCTAGCATGATTTTGGTAGAGTGTGAGCTTCTCCTCTTACACAGGGCGCCACCCAGCTCTAACGGGGGAGGTAGGACTCAGAGAGGTCACCCTGGCAACACTCATGAAGTATCAGTGGTAGAGCTGGACTCCCAAGCCCAATGTCTCCCCACTAGACACTGAGCTCCTCAAAGAGCTGGGACAGCTTTGTCTTTCTTTGTATCCCTTGTGCTTAGCCCGGTGCCTGGCACACACTAGGCGCTTAATAAGTGCTTATTGTCTAACTGGGATTTTTGTCTCTCTTTGTATTCCCAGCACTTAGCACAGGGCCTTGTACATAGTGCTTAGTAAATGCTTGCTGACTTGGCCATTTACTGCACCACCATGCAGCTTTTTTCAATTTTAAAATGGGAATTAAACTATATCATAACTTCTTTAAAATGCCTTTTGGGGGATTGTGTGAATTTGCTTTTTTGGACATCCCCCCTCCCTTTTTGGAATCAGCCGTTGGGGTGCCTCCCCACCACCACCAGGTTGTGATGTTGAGGTTCCCTGCTTCCCCCTAAGGAGGGGCATCATTAACCCCAAAGGCCTTCCTGGGCTTCCCTAAAGCAGCATTGCTTAGGCCTGTCCTAATTCATAGAATGGCTTTTCTCTTTGATGAGTGGGCATTGTAATCTCAGGGTAAGGAATTCACAGAGGGCAGAGGATTTGCAGCAGCAGCAGCACAAGAAGAGGGGCGTGGAGACTGCAGGGGCGTCCTGGGGTCTGGGCTCAGGGGGCCTCTTGGAGGGGAAGGGCTTCTGGGAGCCTCCAAGAGGGGACAGAACTCTGCAGGCCTCCTAAGGACAGGCTCACAGGCCCTCCTGGGGGAGATGGTGCTTGGGGGCCTCCGGGAAGGCTCCAGGGGCTTCTGGCCCTGTGACTTCAGGGCCTCAGGCTCTCCCCCAGGAATGTCACAAGCCAAGTGCTTGTGGCAGTCGGTCACTCTTTCCTTCCTGACGGGTGGGGTTTCTTTCCTTACAGGATCAGCAAGTTTATGAAAGACAAAGAGCAGAGCTCTGTCCTCATCACCCTGCTCCTTCCTTTCCTGCACCGAAGCAGCATTGCCGAGGTAGGCACACATTTGGCATCATCCAAGTGAGATGGGGAAGGTGTGGTTGGACAGCAGTTTGTTTGAAAAAGATCTGGGGGCTTTAGTGGACTTCCAGAGCCATGAGTCAGCAGGGTCATAGGGCAGCCCAAAATGCTGCTGACCATGGGCTTGTGGCCAGTCCCCTCTGCTCTGCCCTGGTCAGACTACACTGATGAGCTGGGAAGGCAACCTCAGTGCAGAAAGGTTCAAGTTCGTGCCACTTGAGAGCTGGTTGGAAAAACTAGGGAGGCTTAGCCTTGAGAGAAGAGCTGGTGGTGGTGCTCGGATAGATGGACACATGGAGCCGTCCTCCACTGTGGAGGGACTGTCGTGTGAAGCGTGTCTCGTCATCCTGATGTCAGAAACACCTTCCTTTCAGTGGTGGCTGACCAGAGGGAGAGGAGGCTGCCTCAGGAAGCCAGGAGGCCAGGCCTCCCCTTTGGGGGAGTCGTATTTGGAAATACTGTTTTCCAGAGCTAAGGCCCAGCAAGCAGGCTGTGCCCTGAGCTTGGCATAACAACAATCCTTTGTGCTGTGGATGATCTCAACCTCTGGCAAAGTGTATTGCGCCAGCTGTTCACTCAGGACAGTTTTCCTGGCCATCCACTGACACTGTGGCAGTGAGAATTACTGAGGATCTAAGAAAGGGTGGCCACAACAGAGAGAGGTAGTTATCTTCTCTCTGATGACGAGGGCGTGTCTTTGGTGGCAAAGTCCAGTTTGTTGGGAAAACCTACTGTGGGACAACTGGAGGAGCGGGATGGGAAATCCTAACAGTTAACACTAATTGGACTGCCACATAACCGTAGGAGAAAGGATGGAGGGCTGGAGAAAACCTGACCGAACTAACAGCTTAAGCATCCTAAGAAAAGCAGTCAGCTGATTGCTAAGTTAGCCTGTGCTGTTGGTCTCAGCCTCTTTCCTGTCCTTGCCTTCCCTCATTGATCTTCTCTGGATACCATTTCATTCATCCCATTTGTGAATAAGTTAGTAAAGCAGGATTTGCCTTTAGCAACTGGATTTTGTTTAAAAAAAAAAAAACAAAAACAAAAAACAAAAAAAGGAAAACCCAGAAACTTCAGCTTAATTTTTAGAAATTGGACTTTGATCCTTGCTCTTACCACCAATAATAATAGCATGTACTTATGAATGCTTTAAGGTTTGCAAAGTGCTTTACAAATATTATTTTATCCTCACAGCAGTCCTGGGAAGTAGGTGCTATCATCATCTTCATTTTACAGATGAGATAACTGAGACAGTTTAAATGACTCGCCCAGGGTCACCCAGCTGGTATCTGAGGCTGGATTTGAACTCAGATCTTCCTAAATCCAGGGCCAGTGGTCTTTCCACATCCAGTGGTCTATCTAGCAAACTCAGTAGTGAAAGGATGAGAGATTAGCACTCAGAGGGACTTTAGAGGTCCTCCAGCTGAGCCCCTTCATCTGATAAATGAGGGACCTGAGGCCCAGAGGTTAGGGGACTTGTTCAAGGTCACACAGTTAGCATTGTGGTTGGGATTTGAACCCCGGTCCTCTAAGTCCAGATCTGGTGTTCTCTGTCTTGCACCACATCCTCTTGAAGGGATGAAAGGAACCTTCATGCTCATCACAATTAAATCCCCTTATTTTACACACATTAGAATGTAGTTACGTGTGGTAGTTTAAGTGAAGAAATTACTGCCAGATTTTATCCCAGGCTTGATTGTGATTTCTTTCCTTTTCATCTGTGAATTTTAAGTTTGTCAAACTATGAGTGCATATCCATATGGATGCACAGTAGAATGTAAGCTCCTGGAGGGCAAGGATTATTTCATTTTCTGATTTTGTGTCCCCAGTGTTGGACATTACAGTTAGATGCTTAGTAAATGTTTTTTTGATGTTGAATTTTTCTTTGTGGCAGGCTCTATGGAGGTGCTTGTAGATGAGGGTGGGTTCGTTTTAGGACAGTACTAATTATATGGAGTAAAAGGGGCTGTTTGAGAACATTTAAGGCAGAGCCAGGAAGCAATCCCCCTTTCCTCAAGTTATTTTCAGCTTAACTATTAACTGTTTACAACTATTTACTATTTACATTGCTTTTATTTTAGAAGTAAAGTTCATGTCTAAGCAGATGAAGTTTTTGAAGAAAAAACACTTCATTCTGTTCCTTTCTTCTCATAGATTCATAGCTCTTATTCGATCAGAAAATAATAGAAAGTGCTCATCCTTTTCCCCTACTAGAAGGAATCAGCCAATCCTTAAATTAATTTGAGAGGGAAAGACCCTTAGAGATCACCTCACCCATTCCTCTCATTTTTGCAGATAAGGATCCAGAGTCTTGGATCAATGCTGTGAGCTGCTCTAGGAAACGTAGTTGTGTAGTTATGATAAAGGCAGGTCTTTGGACAAAGTCTGGCCTTGTGTTTGCCCTGAAGGGAAGGAAAACACTGCACTAGATAAGACTGCACTTAATTTCAAAAATGGCAGTGGATTTTGTGGGTAATTAAAGTGCTGAGCATTTAAAAATAATTTGTAGAAACTATGATCAGAGGATAAACCACACATCTGGAGGAGAGAGAAATCAGGTTGCTATTTCCCATCACTCGGCCACCTCCTAGGCATCATTCTTCCCAATTCTGAACCCCTCTCCCTTTCCATCTTTTAGGACACTGAGATTGATATCCTGGTGACTGTACAGAACTTGTTAAAGAATTGTCACGACCCAACAAGTTTCCTGAAGCCTCTGTCACGGCTTTTCTCTGTCATTCAGAACAAAATGTCCCGACAGATGCTCTGTACAGTTTTTCAGGTAGGTACATGCAGTGTTTTAGCAGCAACTGACCTTTCATTTTGTAGAAAACTAATAGGATGTTTCAAGTACAACTTTTATTTTATCTCATCATCAGTCTCTCTGCTTTGTATAAGGACCTGGAAAGCAGTGATGGCCATGATTCAAACCCCCAAATTAGTCTGAATTCTCATTGATTTGGGTGGAATTGCAACCCATCCATACCCCTGTCCCTTTGGTGGGACTCTTTTGTTTGTGTCTTCCCATAAATTCATCCCCAGGGTCCACCTATGTTTGGGAATCCTCTTTTTCTCCCAAAGTCAGGGGAGAAAAATTTTCTGATACTTACGCAATCTAATTTCTCAACTTTTTTTTTTTTTATTTTAGACGCTTTCTGATTATGAGAGTGGATTAGAGTACATTACAGAAGTTGTCAAGGTATGAAAATAATTTATTCTTTTCCTTTGGAAATGCATATTTTTAAGCCTGTAGTTTGTACACTGCCTACTTCCAGGAAGATTTGATGTGGATAGGATTATGATGCCTAGTCGTTCCTGATAGGTCCCTGGGTTCATCGATGTGGGGCTCTCCCTCTGGGGATACAGGTTCTGTTCCTTTCCTATAACCATTTCCTAGAAAAATCTATTGGTCGGCCCTGAATTTAGCTAGGCTGCTCTTTAGCTGATGGTCATGTCTAGTCTGCCACCTTGCTCTCTTCTCCCAGATATTTCAGCTGGGTCAGGCCTGCCCGTGTATTTGCTCTCCTGGCATAGCCTGGCAAAGCTGAATGCCATCTCCACATCATGGGGAGACGTCAGAGGATGAGTGTGGTCAAGCCAAGGCCAGAATGCTGAGCGGTCATTTCTTTATGATTAAAAACCAATTCATGATTTCAATGACATTGTGCTTCCTGTAGCTGAATGCCTTTGACCAGAGACACCTGGACGACATCAACTTTGATGTTCGCTTGTCAGCCTTCCAGAAAATCACCTCTTACATCAAGGAGATGGAAACTGTAGACATCACCTACCTGGCCCCTGTAATGCACAATTGTTTCTACACGTTGCAGGTAAGTGGTTCTGGCAGAAGTGTGGTGGGTTATTTTAATTGGATTGTTGCTTCTGTGGTGATGGTCTTCTTGGTTGTTAAAGGCCATGACTCAACATACATGAAACACACACACACACACACACACACACATATACATAAAATTTTGAAGCCCTTTACATGAGGCACGGCCCTTGGGGCATGTATATTTGGGTAGGTGTGTCTAGCAGACATAAATAAGCGTTATCCTGTTGACACAAGTAAACAAACAGTTTTGAGACAGTCTGGTACGATGCAAAGAGCCCTGGGTGAAAATCCTCCTTTGGACATTTAGGACCCTTGTGACCTTTGTGGCCAAGAACTCTTTTTATCCTAGTTCATCAGAGACACACACACATACACACACACATTTTTTGGAAGACTGATGAAAAGATACATCTCATAGCACTTTCCGAGATTCACAGACATTGTCCGGTATGTCACCACCCTCCATTCTGTTTCTCCTGTCGGTCCGGTTGTCTGGGGTCTTTTCCCCCTGACGCTAGGGGGTGTGTAGGGGCTTCTGTGAGAGTTGAGTCTGTGTGTCCACGGTGACACGTAGTTATCTTTCGATGATGCCTGGTCCTGGTTCAGAATTCAGAGATCTCATGAGTCCTTGGAGTTAGTTAGTCCTTTCCTGTTGGAAAGGCGAGCTTCCTGTGGTCCTCGTTAGAGGGTCAGCCCAGCGTGCTTGCTCTGTGACTGACATTCACCCTCCTTCCCTCCTCAGCTGAAAGACATGGCCCTGAGTGACAGCGCCAGCCTGTGTTTGATGAGCATCATCCATCGGCTCGCGGCCCCGGACGTCAGCGAGGCGCAGTACCGGGAAGTCATTCAGCGCACCCTCTTGGAGACCCTGAGGAAAGGCCTGAAGAGTCCAACCGAGGTGAGAGAGCTCGCGTGCGCTGGCTCGGTGAAACTCGTCACAGTGTCAGTGGTTCAGGTTGCTTCATAAAGGTTTATGTGTGTAAATTAATTTCAGTGCATGAAGGACCCTCTTCCAGTCATTCCTCCTCTCCAGTGGTCGTAGTTCATGTCTATTCATCCTGCTGTCTGCCTTTTCCTCTGGGAGTTCTCTCAGAAGCCATTCCTGGTTTCCTGGTGTTCCTCCTGCTTGGCAGTCCCACAGCAGTGGAGCCTTCCCGTCCACGGGGCTGCCGTTTCTTTCTCCAGAACCCAGGGCTCGGGCACTTAGCTTGGGCACAGATCTTTGCTGCTGCTGTGAGAGAGTCTTTGACTAGTGCTCTCTTTGTGTGTGTGTGTGTTTGATGACACTTTCAGGGGCTGTTTCCAGCAATAGAATTATTGTAAATAAGTATGCCTTGTACCTTTTGCAGTTTATTCTGAGATTGCTCTCCAGAGAGATTTCCCCAAGTGGAAAATTCCCCCTGCATTAAATAAGTGCGCCCATTTGTTATCAGCCTCACCGGTGTTTGATGTCGTGGCATTGTTTTTGCCAGTGCTTGGTCGGGTGTCACCTGGTACCTCCACGTTGCTGTAATTTGTGTCTCTGATTATATTAGAGAGATCTTGAACGTTGTTTTAAGGGATTATCAGTAATTTGCATTCCTTTTAAAATTATCTGCTCATGCGCTTTGATCTTGTATCCATTGTGGATTGGGGTGGCAGTTACATCTCTATTTTAGACATCAAGGAGTTTTTTCTATTTTAAAAAGCAATTATATTTGTTTGTTTGTTTTTTTCCCTCCGATTTGATATTTGCAGAGTATCCAGCAGGAATACACAACTTTACTTTCCTGTTTAATTCAAACCTTTCCAAACCACCCAGAATTTAAAGACTTGGTTCAGCTTAGTGACTTCAATGATCCTGAAATGGACTTTTTTGAGAACATGAAGCACATTCAGGTAAGTACTGCCTCTGCTGTCCTTGGAATTCGCTTTGGCCATTCCTCCCCCATGAACACTGTAAGTGGTTCCCAAAGTCTAGGTGTCATTGGACCTCATCTTTATGATGTGTAGAGTAAGTACAGACAGCTGCTTCCGCTTGTCAGACTTTTTGGTAGTGTCATAGAGGCGGGATGGCCTAGGGACCAAGAGACCGCTTCGGCCACAGAGAGGCCTGGGTTCAAGTCCTACTTTGGACCCACAAAGGCTTTGTGACCCTGGGGAAGAAACATAACCTCAGGGACTGTTAACTAAAGAGCATGTGCATCTCTGTACCTGAAAAGGGACTTGTCATACCCGAGCCATCCCAGGTTTAGTCCAAAAAATAGAATTCATTTATATCACAGGAGATTTTTAAGGAATTTTTGCCGCACAACTTGCAGGGTTGGTAACACAAGAAATCTTATTCCCATTTTATACCTGATGGAACCAATTCAGAGAGGAGAAGAGTCTTGTCCAGAGTCATAAGCAGATATTAACAGTTATCTTACTTCTCTCACATGTTGTCTGAGAAACTCCCCAGGCTTCAGTTTCTTTATCTGTAAAAAGATGAGATGGCTTCTGGGGTCCCTTCTGGCCTCTCCATCTGTTCTCCCAGAAGCCCAAGTCAATGCATGTTGGACCTGAGTTCCCCATCTGTGAAAGATACCTTAGACACCACGGTCCCTGAGCTCCACCCCCCAGCTGCACATCTGTGTCCCTTTACAAGGATCTTGGGGCATCAGTGTTCCCTCTGAGCTCCCTCCCAGCGGCACATCTAGGCCCCGAGCACCCTGTTAGGGACATGCTCCACGGGCTGCGGGCTGCAGCATCCCAGGCTGGCACAGCAGAGGGTCTGGGTCTGAGGTCCTTGGGTGCACTCTTACAGAGAGGCGTCCTGAACAGCCTTCTCAGTATGGAAGAGGCCTCCCCCCCAGGATGGGAGTGGGAGAGTCCACCATGGGCACTCTTTTCCCTGTGAGTTTCTCACACATCTCATTTAGCTTCCAACATCTTTTTAGATCCATAGAAGGGCCAGAGCCTTGAAGAAACTAGGCAAGCGTCTGATGGAGGGCAAGATCGTTCTGTCTTCCAAGTCTCTCCAGAATTACATTATGCCCTATGCCACAACGCCAATTTTTGATGAGAAGATGCTTAAGGTAAGTGTTTATAAAGGAGAGAAAGCATCAATCTGAACCCACTGAGTGTTTCTGTAGCGGTCTGACACCTGTGATGAGCCACAGGCTGCGCTGGGTGTGGGGATGAAACAGAAGTGAAAGCCCACCCGAGGGGCTTATGTTTGAATGAGGGACCAGCATGTGTGAGTGGGTGTGTGGGTGGGTGTAGGTGCACGCGCGCGTGCAGGCACGCGCGCGCACACACACACACACACACACATACACGATGTTTATTATCTTCAGAGATGTGCCCAGGGTCACCTAACTGTTCTAAGAATTGAGGCTTCCCTCTGCTTCTGTGTAACACGTGAGGGTTGGACCCAACGATCCCAAAGGTCCTTCTAGTCCCCCTTGTAAGATCCTCTCACTGAGGTCTTTGGCTCTTTCTGCTGCCCCTCTGGACTCGGGCCTGGCAGTTGTTTGGTCATTGGTGGGGAGGCTTGAAGGAATACCAACGATGCATGGAGATTTTAGCCTGTTCTTTTTCTCTCAATTTTGGGTGCTTTTGTGGAGGGGGGGGTACCTTGTAGTTTGTAAGACTCACATTATCAGATGACATAAAATACGAGACAAAGTGGGGCAGCAGGAATAAAGATGAAAATAGTACAGATTCCTGAAGCTAGGGAATGTGAGGTGAAATCAGCATTTCGGAGCAGTATCCATGGAGATTGCCAACCTCCTAGGCTTTCGGCCTTGAGGGGTAGGTAGGGAAGGGTGTGTCTTGTATGAGTTGGAGCAGGCAATCTGGTGAACCCTATGGATGGCTTTTAATGATGTTTTAAATGCGGAAAACAAAGTACATTAGATTATAAAGAAAGCCAACTATAGTGAAATACAGTTATCAAAATATTTTGAAAAATAAGTTTGTGGACCTAGATCAAGGACCCCCAGACTAGAGGTTCCCCAGCTTCTTAGCTCTGTCATTTAAAATGTTGTAATTCTTTTATGAATATTTAAAAATAATTGATTGCCTGAATAAGCAAAGGGTAGCACCCTAGTATTTCAGGTATGCGAAAACAAATCAGTGTAATTAAGCTGATTGTGAGTGGTAAAGGAAGAGGAACAGCCCCAGACAGTACAGACCTTCTCTAGGTGACTGGGGGCGCTGGAGGGGGGCCAGATACCTTGGGCTTTCTTGCTCAGGGCCTGCTGCCTGTGGTCTGCCCAGGAGAGCAGTGAGAGACATCCTCCCCATGGCACTGGGGTCGTCCTCATTTCACATTGCAACGCCTCTGTATGACTGTACTTTAGATTCTTTCGTCTCTGGAGAGAGTTCATTCACACTACTCCTCAGTCGTTGAATGAACTGGGAAACTCAGAGATCTTGGCACAGTCCCCCCAGTATGTAGGCCTTTAGATTCTTTATTTAGCCTCATGCTTCTCTCTCCCACCTCTGTGCCTTTGCCCAGGCAGTCCCCACAGTCCTGGAATGTGCTCCCTCCCCACTTCTGTCTGTCTCCGAGAGTCCTTAGCTTCCCACAGGCCCTCCTCCATGGCCACCACCTGCTTCAGGTCTTGGCTGACCCATCGAGCTGTTGGTGCTGCTCCCTCCCTCCTCAGATTATCTCCTACTCCCTTATCTATGTATCTTGTGTCCCCCAAGAGAATGGAAGCTCCCTGAAGGCAAGAATGTTTATCATTGTTTGTCTTTCTGTGCTGTTCCCTGTGCGTAGTAGGTGCTTAATAAATGATTATTAATTGAGCCAACTCTTTTCTTGTTTTGTAGCATGAAAACATAACAACAGCTTCCATGGAGCTTATTGGAGCTATCTGCAGGCACCTTTCCTGGCCGGGATACATGTATTACTTGAAATATTTCATTCACATTTTACACACAGGACAGATCAATCAGAAGTTGGGTGTCAGGTATGGTCGCCCTTGTTTCCATTCCTCAAACCCATTTTTTAGAGTCTTTCACTGACATCTTTTAGTAACTGAAAGTTGTTATTTGGGATTACAATAATCAGTGTGCATTATGCATATTTAAGTCAAATAGAAATAAACCCAATAAAGTTTAAAATTCTACCCTCGCCTCTTGATAGTGTGTGTTTAAAACAACCAAGTAACGTTAATTAAGCTCACGGTCCTACTTATTTCTCTTTTTTGATAGTTTGTTAGTCACAGTATTAGAAGCTTTCCACTTTGACCGTGAAACTCTCGAGAAACAAATGGAAAAAATTCAGAATGAAGAAAGTAAGTTTTTTCCTTTCACAACTTTTTAACCAAATTTCCATGTTTTTTGTAATTTACTACTGTGTGTTGATCACTTATTCAGTTCCACAAACGTTTATGGATGGCTTGTTCTGTGCCAGGCTTTGGATACAAAGACAGTAACAAAAACTGGTGCCTGCCCTCAGGAGCTTACATTCCATATTGTTCGTCATTTTCAGTTGTGTCGGACTCTTCATGCCCCGTTTGGGGTTTTCATGGCAAAGATATTAGAGTCATTTGACATTTCCTTCTCCAGCTCATTTCATTATTGTTATTATTATTAACAACAATAAAACAATTACTATAGTGACATTAAGCAGGAATTAGGCAATTGGTTCTAAATTTAAATCAGAGAGGTATATACGTATGCATGTAAGTGGTTATGGCTTTCCTATTAGTCTTAGAGAATTCACACTTTCTTTTGTATGTTTGTTTGTTTGTTTGTTTTAGGCAATTGGGGTTAAGTGACTTGCCCAGGGTCACACAGCTAGTAAATGTCAAGTCTTTGGTCTGAGGTTGGATTTGAACTCAGGTCCTCTTGACTTCAGGGCTGATGTTCTATCCACCGCGCCACCTAGCTGCCCTAGAATTCACACTTTTTAAAACAAAATTAATACCTTTATATTAATTCACCAGTTGGACGGTCAGCTAGGTAGTGCAGTGGGTAGGGTGCTAGGTTGGGCCTGGAGTCAGGAAGACTCGTCTTCTTGTGTTCAAATCCAGCCTTAGACACTTACTGGCTGTGTGACCCTGGGCAAGTCACTTAACCCTGTCTGCCTCAGTTTCCTCACCTGTGAAATGAGCTGGAGGAGGAAATGGCAAATGACTCCAGTGTCTTTGCCAAGAAAACCCCAAATGGGGTCATGGAGAGTCAGGCACAACTGAAATGACTGAATAACATTCCATGTTAAAGGAGATCAAACTAGTCTGTCACTGTTCCATCTTGTTGGTCCTTGTGGTCAAGAAGGGCATTAAAGAGGTTAAAAATTGGCTAAAATTGGCTTGTTTTTTTGGCATCTCACTCATGGGGAAAGGTTGGTTTCAATTAATGAAATGAAATATCAAGAAGTGCAGTTTCATTGATTTTAAAAGAATCCTAGGCCTGGGGTTCTGATCCTGGCTGTATCCCTCACTAGCTATGTGACCTGGTGTGCGATAGTGTCTTCTTGTCTCTGGGTCTTAAGTTTCCCCTCTTTCAGAAGAGGGCAGTGAGGTGAGCCAGGCATCCTCCAGCTCTAACAGTCTGTCCTTCTAAGTAAAAATGACTGAGAAGCCTGAACAAGTGTGTTCAATCAGCCAGATTGCTTTGTCATTGAGAGCCAGCTAGATGGGAGGTGGACAGAACGTACGCCTTGTCCTGTGCTGTGGCAGGACCCTGGATTGCGCCAGGGCACCTCGATGCCCAAAGGCGGCATGGTGGTCCCATGGGAAGAATACTGGGGTTTGATTACGGGCAAGTCCTTTCAGTGAATCTCAGTTTCCTCACCTGCAATAATGCTTCTCATGTCTGCCTTCCAAAGTTGTTAGTAGGATCAAATGAGGTAAAAAATATATATGTAAACCCTTGGCAAATCTGAAAAGCACTATAAAATGTTTCTTCCTCTTCTTGTTTTTATTATCAGTATTATTTATATACTGAGTGAAATCATTTGCTTACCTGAAACGATGTTTTCTTTGCTTACTGTTTACTGATTGTCTAATGTCAGGAAGCAGTGGGGTGTAGCGGAAAGAGCCCCAGCTGTGGAGTCCGAGCATCAGGGCTCAGTCACTCAAGACAAGTCACCCCCATCCCACCGGGTCTCAGTTTTCTCATCTGTAAAATGAGGAGGTTGGATTAAATGACCACTGAGACCTCTTCCAGCCCTCAAATCTGTGATCCTATGAATCCTAGCTTTTACTGATTGTTGGCCGTAGGCCAGTTATTTAAATCCTTAACCCTCGTTTTCCTCACCTTTCAGTGGGGATAATGATAATAGCACCTTCTTCCTGGGGTTGTGAGGGCCAAGTGAGGTCATAGGGGACGTGAATACTTTGACAGCCTTAAAGCATGGTGTAAGTGTTACTAGTAGGGTGATGATCACTGGAATTATTGTCAGGGATTTTCAAGCTGAAGACGACCTTAGAAATGGTCTAATCTGATCATTTTGCAAATGAGACTGAGGTTCCAAGAATGTAAGCGACCTACCCCAAAGCACACATGTCAGTAAGCTGGGATTCAAACCCAGACTGTCTGACTCCTAATCTATGACCCTCTCCACTGCACCATTGCTGCCCCTCCTGCTTTATTATAGAAGTTGCTGCAACTCTTGAGATTCGGCGGTTATACAAATATTTGGGAGTTTTAGCTAATTTTTTCATGCCCCTAAGGAAGTTCCTGTTGGGCTGTTATATTATTCTCATTATTATATGGCTCAGGGAGACAATACCCCTCATTGTGGTGGTAGGAAGAGTCCCCCAAAGGGACATGCTTCTTGCCTGGGCCCGTGAATGCTGGCCCTGGGAGTCAGGCTGGAGAGGCATCATTCTTCTGCTTGTGTTGGGACATGTTTTCATTGCCCTCCTGTGAGATCACCTGAATTCAAAGTAATGAGCCTGAGAGGCGGAAGGAAAGGTTGTGGTCATCTGGAGGCTGGGGAGGTTTTAGTAAGAAGGACCTTGGGTATTTCCTTGCTGTGGGACTGTGGGGCAAGTCACTTCACCTCTGTGGGTCTCAGTTTCCTCATCTGTAGAATGAGATGCATGTCCTCTGAGGCTCCTGTCCAGCTCTGTGTGATCATTTAAGTCACTTAAAGTCACTGTAAACAACTTCTCCGGGCCTCAGTTTCCTCAAGGGGGCTGGATTGGGTAGCCTTTGACATCCCTTCCAGCTCTCCTTGACAGATTTTCTCCAGTGGATGAAATCTTGCGCTAAGCCATTGAAGTCCTCCAAATTAAGAGAATTGCCATGTCAAGCTTGTAGTTGCTGCTTATCATGCCTGGTTAATTTTCTCTGGGGGTGGCTGTTCTCTCTTTCGTGGATGCAGGTGCCATGGAGGTGGATGTGCCAGCAGAGCACGAAGCCATGGAATTGGATCACGCCAGCGGGGAGGAGGAGGAGGAGGAGAAGAGGAAGATGTTGTGCGAGGCGGATGAGAAGCTCCGGGGGCCAGCCCCGGAGGCGTCTGCTGCGGAGCCCGAGGACGGCGCCCCGGTCTTTCCCGGCCTCCCAAAGAGCAAGGAAGAGCTGGAGAATCTGATCCAGCAGATTCACAAAACCGTCACCAGCAGCATCCTGCCCAAACTTCACAAATGCCTCTCTGCCACGGTGATCCTTCTGAGTGTGCGCGGCGGGGGGCGAGGAGGCTCATCCCAACTCCAGCGCTCGGGCCTGAAGGCTGTCTCCAGGCACAGCCTCTCTGCTGTGGTGTTCGCACCAAGCCCGCAGGCCCTCAGGGTCCTGACTTCAGCTAGGAGTCTGTTCTTGGCCAGTTATCTTGCTAAACGGTAGCTTTGTCTTACTTAGCCTGCTGGGATCCAGGAGCAGCCTGATCTCCATTGGCAGCGGATTCCTTAGGATAGGATTTAGATGGAGAGCAGAGGGGGCAAACACTGGCCGTAGGGCCAGTCAGTGTCTCAGGTGGGATTCAAACCCAGTTCTTTCCTGCTCCAGATGTAGCCCTTTGTTTGCTACGCCTTTCTGCCCCTTGTGATAGGGCTATACAGTGGTCTCAGTAGTGACCTCATATAATTTTTTCCTCCTTTTCTAATCACAGTATTCCTCATTTGGCTCCCTATTGCCTCTGTAAATTAGGGCAAGACGAGATAGAGAATCTAAAGTTCCTTCCATCATTAATATTCTGTGATTCTAGTGAAATATCTTTGATTATCATGGCGGATCAGTGTTTGGCTGTGTTTATTGAAACGAGCAAAATGTATGTGCCTTTGACACTCCAGATGTTCATATGGATGCTTTTTTAGAGGCAGTGGGATGTGGGTGGATTCCCAGACTTCGAGTGAGGATGACCTGGGTTCACGTGTTGTCGCAGACGGCGTAACTTCCCACTGTCCCCGACCACTCCAAGCGACAGGCAGATGGTGGATCTTTGGCTCTAAAGCTTTGGGTTTGGGCTGTGATATTCTCGGGTTTGGGGCTTTAGGAAGCAACGAGTGGATTCTTTTGGTTTTCACTTTGTCCTCTAGTTGTAAGAGACGTGGCAAGTCTTCCTTTATTTTTGCTTGAACTCCAGAAAGTCCCCAGCTTTTCTGTTTGGTCAGGGTTTCCAGGGCCGGATGACTCTCACCTGTTTTCTCAGTCTGTTTGCGATCGTCAGTTCCTTACTGTCTTTCGTCCAGCCCTTTTTTACAGTTCTGGGCTGGACAGGAGGACCTCACGCTGCTTCTCTTTGGTTTCCTTCATCTTTTTTTTCAGTGGGGTCATCTTTCTATATTTGCTGGGGTGGGCACAGGAGAGCCGGTGACCCCGCAGCCTTTCCCTTTGCCGTGCTGGCCAGACGTGTGACCTGTTGTGTTGTTAACGGTCTGCTTGGGGCCTTGGTCCACACCTCTCAGTGCCAGCCACGGAGGAGGCCCTCGAGAAATGCTGGATGGGGTGAAGGGAAGCAAGCTGAACCAATAAAGTAACGGACCCCAGAAAGTGCCCTCCCTTCCAGTGCCAGGTGACCTGTTTCTAAAGTGCTGTCCCCAGCCAGGTAGTTTCTGTTTGGGCCTGACCCGAACTTTTCTTTCAGACGAAAAGGGATGAAGAGCACAAGCTCGTCAAGTCCAAGGTCGTCAACGACGAGGAGATCGTCCGGATCCCGTTGGCCTTTGCCATGGTCAAACTCATGCAGTCCCTGCCCCAAGTAGTCATGGAAGCGAATCTGCCGAGGTGCGTAGGCTGCCCCAGAAATGGGCCTCCCCATTTCTCAGACCACTGATGGACAAAGAGCCATTCTACCTAGATCGTGGTCTTCCTTGAGTGTAGAGAGGGCTGCACTTGGAGGAATGCCTGGGTTCAAATCCGCCCTCTTGACATGTAATAACTGTGTTCATGGGCAACTCATTCACCTCTTTAGTATCCAGGGCAACTTCCTAAGAGGTAGGGATGTTGGTATGATTATACCTGTTTTATAGATGAGAAAACTGAGGCTCACAGAGTTTAAGTAGCTTGCCTAGGGCACACAGCCTGTAGGTGTTGGAGGTGAGACTTGAACTCGGGTCTCACTCCAAGCACGACAGCATCTCTGGATTGTGAGTCGTGGAGCAAGTACAAATCTGCTACAGTTACTACAGAGGTGTCTCTCCTTAGGAATTCCCTATGCTAATGGTATCACGGGTTCAGTCAGAAAGACTAAGCAACCAGCAATAATCCCAGAGGACCTACTTCCTTCCCCATGCAAGTAACAGTGCATGTAAAGTGCCCTGGAAGCCTGAACAGTCTGTGCAGATACGATTGACCTCCTTCTAGTAGCAACTTATGCCCAAAGCCCCTCCTGGCTTTCCCAGCTGGTGGGGCCTCCCCCAGGAGATACTTTGTATCTAGTTTGTGCAGCTCTGTTACCTACAGATTGTTTTCCTCAATAGATTGTAAGCCCCTCGAAGGTTGGGCCTATTTGTAATTTTTGACCAGCCCCATCACAGTTCCGGGCCTTTACAGTAGTAGCAGCTTAGTTAAGTGTTTCATTGGTCCTTCCTCCTCACCTTCAGACGTTAATACTGCCTGCACAATTCACTGCTTCCTCGTGGGGAAAGATGGGTTAAGTCTGTTTGCACAAGGAAAGTCATTAAGTTTGGTTTGTTTATTTGATTGTTTTTTCTTCTCTTTTTTTCCTAATAGTATTTTGCTGAAAGTGTGTACCCTCCTAAGGAACAGAGCCCAGGAAATCCGTGACGTTGCGCGCAATACCCTCACAAAAATAATAGAGACCTTGGGTGTGCATTATCTGCAATACATTTTAAAAGAATTACAGACCACTCTTGTTCGTGGATATCAGGTAAATCAAATGGACTTTTAATTTTTTAGTTTTTTATTTTTTTTAGGCAATTGGGATTAACTGACTTGCCCCCGGTCACACAGCTAGTAAGTGTCAAGTATTTGGTCTGAGGCGGGGTTTGAACGCAGGTCCTCCTGACTTCAGGGCCGGTGCTCTACCCACTGTGCCACCTCGCTGCCCCTGGACTTTTAAGTTTTAATGGGTAACTAGGAGATGCCACCATGAGTAGAGCCCTGGGACTAGAGTCAGCGAGATCTGAGTTCAAAGCCAGCCTCAGACACTTACTATCTGTGTGATCTTGGACACGTCACTTAATCTGTTTGCCTCAGTTTCCTTAACTGTAAAATAGAGATAATAAAAGCACCTATCACCCAGGGTTGTTGTGAGGATCAAATGAGATAATATTTGTAAAGTGCTTAGTAGAGTACCTGGCACATAGTAAGTGCTATATAAAGTTAGCTGTTATTATTGTTGTTGTTGTTATTGTCATTATCATTATTATAATTAGTATTATTTTTTGGTCTGTGCTCAGATATTCACATTGTAAATAAAAAAGTACTGTAAAATTAAAGAAAGTGGAGCCCAGGGGGTTTCCATAGTATGGTCACCGTCTCAATAGAATTTAGTAAAGGTAAACCGAGGCACAGAAGTCCGAGCTTTGTCAGTTTATTAATAGGGTGCTAATAAGTCCAAGCTTAATCATTTTATTAGCAGGGCGCCACTTGTTAACAGAGTGGGTCAAATGGCTTCCTCAGTTAGGCCAGTGACCCAGAGCAGGAGGCACAGCTCCTTTTTATAAGTGTAGAGTAAAGTACAGACCTGGGTAGGTGACTAAAATAATACAGTAGGTTATAGGTTGGCAGCATCATGGCAGAGAGGACAGCATGGTTGGTTACGTTAACAAGAGTGGGCTAATACTAGGCAGGGCTAGCAAACCCCCCCTTTCCCCCCCTTTTTGTCTTGGAGGAGTGGTTGATTGATTTATGGGACTCATGTGCGTCCTGAGGCCATTGAAGGTGGGCCATGGAGAGCAGCCTCCCTGGCTCCTGGGAGGGAGGTGAGCCCCTCCTTAGCTGTACAAGGACAGGCGAGGATGGACAGTGTATCTTATAGAGCTGTACCTGCTCAGCTTGTAGGCTGTCATTGGTAGCAAATAGGTGAATTTTTTAGGAGCCGATGGTGTGAGGGATAACAAGTTTTCTTTTAACTTTCTTTTAACTCAGAGGGGACCAAGAAATGTTCATTGTTTGAGTCCCCCTGCAAGGTCAGAGATAGTGGCCAGGTTCCCTGATGTCCATCAGCATCCCTCTCAGAGAACAGATTTCCTTGTGGCCAGATGAGGACGGTGCTGAGCTGGAGAACCCAGCTTCTGCCCTTAGCTCGTAGGCGACCAGGCAGTGATCCAGAGGAGAATCAGTGCTGAAATGACTCAGAATCAGTGGAATTCCTTCCTCACCCAGGTTCTCTGACTGTCAGGCTGGTGTTCTTCCCAGTTTTTCAAGGATAAACAGACTGCAGGTTTTCTGGTTTTCCTCAAGCAGAAAGCTCAGCTCCCTCTTGATTAGGTTATCATTTTTTTTGTTATTTATTTTTTTAGGTTATCACATTTTACAGAGGGGCCGAGAGTCTGAACAGCTTGATTCTGAGTGCCCAGGCCTGTCGGTCTGCCCCACAAGGCCGGCTTTCCCAGGACTTGCTGACTTTCCCAGTGGAGCAGTAGCTAACCACCCTGTCTCCTGACTCATCCCTCCAGGTTCACGTGCTCACCTTCACTATTTACATCTTGCTGAAAGGTCTCGCAAGCAGCCTGAAAGTTGGAGAGTTGGATCCTTGCTTGGACATCATGATTGGGGTAAAAGCCTTTCACTTCTTCAGTGGCTGGTGGACCTTAAGATGAAAATTCAGGTTGTGAGCCTTAGCTTCAGGTCACAGCTGCACAAGTGGACTATAGTTACAAGCCTGAAAGTGATTTAAGACAGTTTTAAAATAAGCAACAAGAGCAACCACATTTATAAAACCAGGGGAGACTCCCTCCTTTAAGGATTAAACACGTTGGCAGATGGAGATTTCAATGTTCTCTGGTCCCTTTCCCGGGTGCTAGGCGGAGCAAGCCCAGAGGAAGAGTACGTGGGTGGTGGGTCATCAGCCCTGAGGTCAGCCCTGTCCCCCACAGCCACTGACTGTCCCCTGCTCCTCCATGACCCTGGGGGCTCGTTTGCCTGGCTGACGTCCTGTTAAGTGTCAGCCTCTGGCCTCGGCCTCTTGTCACTGTGCTTTCTCTCCCTCCAGGTTTTTAACCACGAGCTGTTTGGCAGTGTCGCCGAGGAGAAGGAGGTGAAGGGGATCATCTCCAAGGTCATGGAGGCCCGACGAAGCAAAAGCTACGATTCTTACGAAATCCTCGGCACGTTTGTCGGGAAGGATCAGGTCACCAAGCTCATCCTTCCACTGAAAGAGGTGAGGCCCCCGAACGCCCCAGGGTGGGCTGTGCCCCTCTTCCATCTATGCTCAATGTCTTTGGTGACTCTGCCACCAGCTCCCAGTGCCAGCTCTTAGGAGTGGGAGGACCCTTCAGCATCATGTGATCATGAATTTAGGGCTGGAAGGGACCTTAGAGGCGTTGGATGAAACCGCCTCCTTGTGCAAAGGAGGAAACAGAGGCCTTGGGTGTTAAAGCTAGTCAGTGCCTGAACTCAGGTTTAACTGGCCATATCCTGCCAGCTCCAAGTTGATTTAGTGCGGCCCTTTCATTTTACATAGGCTCCTAAGAGGTCATAGGATCATAGGGATGGAGCACAGAGTGACCTCAAGGCTCAGCTGGTCCAGCCCTCTCATTTTGTGGAGGAGGAAAGTACTTAGAGACAGAGCTGAGATCTCAGCCCTGATCCTCTGACTTTAGACCAGCACTCATTCCGTTACACCAGAGTTCATCCCCCTCTAAGGCAGAGAAGACCCATCGTGTGTATGTGACCAACGTCATGGGTGCGAGCTCCGCCATCAGTGGGGAGAGACAGCGAGCACCAGGGCCGGCTGAGAGGCAGATAACAGGAGTAGGCCCTTTGAAAGGAAGGAAATAGATCTGGAGCCTCTGAGGCTGGGCACTTGGACCCAGCTCAGCCAGTCAGTCTTCCAGCCTGGGGTGCTCTCTGTGAGGGGCCAGCGGTAGAGGCGCCTACCATGACCCCCCAGCGAAGAAGGCCCTTCCACCTTACAGTCCTTCAGCGTTGCCACGATTCTCCTCCCACAGTCCACGTCTGCCTCACAGTGCTTTGTCACCCTTGTTCCCCTTCTCCCCTGCCCTTGGACAGTCACACACAGAGACTTTTCTGTATCGCAGCAGTTCATTCTGCTTGTTTGATGCTGCTGTTGAGGTTTTTTCCCCTTACCTCCGAAGGAGGAGCAGATTTTGAAGAACGCAGGTGTTTAGAGCCCCTGGGTCTTGCTGCCCCTGGGCCTGGCTACCCTTCAGCCTTCCCGCTGCCCTCTTGTTCTTAGAATAAGTGAAGCAAAGCAATGCGGTCTCAGTTCCTCTTAAGCACAGGAAGACCTTGAGAGAGTGCTTTGCATGGCCACACCTGATAGTACAAGTTGGGTGTTAATTTATTACTAATAACATTAGAAGCTTATCACTTTGATGCTGCTCTTTTTTTGGGGGGGGCAATGGGGGTTAAGTGACTAGTGTCACACAGTTAGTAAGTGTTATGTGTCTCAGGCTGGATTTAAACTCAGGTCCTCCTGAATCCAAGGCCCGTGCTCTCTCCACTGCGCCACCTAGCTGCCCTTCTGATGCTGCTCTTGAGAAGCAGATAGAAAACGGTATGGCCCAAGGGAAAGAGCACTGGCTGGCTCTGGGTTCAGATCCTACTCAACAGTTATTATTTACATGACCTTGGGCAAAGTTAACCTCCCTGGGCCTCAGTTCCCCTCATCTCTAAAATGAGGGGGTTGGATTAGGTGACCCAACATTCTTCCAGTTCCGGGTCTGTCAGTCTTAAGTTTTTTATCCTTTCAGAATTGTTGAACCAGTTTTCCACAGAAGAGTGAGGTGAATCAGGCAATGCCCAAAGTGTCAGGCTTCATCATTTGACATGTTTACAGCCAGGTGGCTCCTCTGGAGTTGCCCAAGGGAGCCTGGCAGGAGAGATGGGGGCAACAAGGGGAGAGGCACTAGGGCAATGCCCTCAGCCTAGCCCCACTGGGGCAATGGTGCTGCCCACTGGGGTCAGGCCGAGGAGGCAGTGCATGGGGGTGGGGTGAGGGGGGTTCCTGGAGGAGGTGCATCCTGACTACTGGGATGGAAGCCGACTACTGGTCCTAGGCTGGTTTTGTGCCTCAGAGAGGCCGGGTGTTTGACCAGCAAGGGCAGCGTCCTGCACGGGCTCATCTGGGGGTATCCCACCTCTGATGTTGTCCGCAAAGAGCAGCCTGTTCATTGTTGCAGAATCCAGAGGTCTCTAGCCTGCCTGTTCCAAGTACAGAGGATTCTGGATTGGGGGATGGCAGATCCAGAAAAGGGCTGGGGCAAACAGGAGGGAATGTCAGGCTTTGACAGTACATGTAGTGACTGCTCTCACATGGACAAATAGACGCAGTCCCTTTGTCTGCTTGTTCATCAGTGTAGTTAATAGAGGTTTGTGAAGAGGCCAGTAAGTGGCTAGAACTGGACTTTTCCATAAAAAGGAACCTTCATTCATTAGCAGAAAGTCAGTGAAAAAACGTAGGATGCTGTCTTATTACTTTAGATAATATGCAGAGAAGCCTGGCCCGTCATGGAGGAGGGATCAGACTGACCGAAGCCACAGCGTGTAGGGGGCACCCTGTCACTGGGGTCTTTTGCCAGTGACTTTGAATACGCTGTGAATGAAGCCTGGGCTAGGTGGCCAGAGATCTCTTCTTGCACTGCCAGTCAGTAGCGTCCTGTGGAGGGGACCCCACAGCGGCCAGGCAGGAGTGTCCTAGGCTGACTGACCTGCTGGGGGTTTCACCGTCAGCCGCTTTCCCTGTTTTCAGCTCTCTGTTAATGCAGCATTTCACCTTTCCTGCAGATTTTACAGAGCACCACCAGCCTAAAGCTGGCCCGCAAAGTGCACGAAGCCTTACGCCGCATTGTAGTGGGCCTGATTGCAAATGAGGAAATGACTGCCAAGTCCATCCTGCTGCTTAGCTACGGGCTGATCAGTGAGAACCTCCCTCTGTTAACAGAGAAAGAAAAGTAAGTGGGGAGGAGGCTTATCCTTACGCTCTTCTGAAAAGCTGTATGACCAGAATTCCCTCTAACTAAACAAAACGACCGCTTCCTTAGAGGAAAAGTAAGAGAACAGGGAGCACCTCACATTTTTAAACTGAAGTTTGTCACAGAATTATGGCTGTCCTCATCATGTCTCCCCTCACCCTCGCAGAGAGCCATCCCCCACAGCAGTGTTTTCTAAAGACCAAAAAGGGAAGAAATCAGCACAGAGCATCTTGCTTTTTTCATTTAATTAGAAATTTCCCTAGAGAATTGTATTACATAGTGTACGATTTGTTTGTGGTTCTGCTAAATGGGATACCTCCTTGTAAAATTTCCTTTCTGGAATTCCATGAAACACTCAAGACACCACGTAGCTTGTCCCAGCGGGTTAGAAGGGCCCAATTCTGCCTGCCCAGGACCTGGGTTCAGATACCACCCCCGATGTGGGGAGGTTGCTTCATCAAGTCCAGGCCTCAATTTCTTCATCTATATTTATCTTTTATTTTGAACATAAACACCCCCAAAAAAACCCATTTTCACATGCCCAGCAGAGCACTGGAAAAGGAGCTGTGTATGAAACCACTGTTCTCCTTTTCTTACCCCTGGCATTTCCTTGTCTGTGAATGAGGGGATGGAGCTGATGGTTTTAAAGGTAACTTCTGCTCCTGGATCTCCGATCTGGCGATCCCAAGGGGTCATTTAAAGTATTTCTCCAAAAACCTTTTGGAGAAAAGGGTTGGATGAGGACTCTCTGGGGTACACCGAGTTCTGTGGGCATCTGTGCAGATCCCCGTTTTTTGGTATTATATGTATGTGTGTGCACACACAAAGCAACACTGATGTTTGTCTCATTAATGCATTTTTCTCTAGGTTTGTTATCTTAGTGAAATACCTGTTTTCAGAAATGGAAAGAAGTGAAGCGTGTGGGCCTGTTATTTTAAATTAGTTGGGATGGTTCTTGAACAACCTAGCCCCTTTCCTAACTGTCATGACTGCACCTGGCATTTGCCAGCTGTGCATTGCCCATGGTGCCCCTTTGTCATGAGGCTGGCTTGTTTTCTGGGCCTCCTTTGTAAAGTGCAGGAAGGATGGAGAGAGGGAGGGGGACCAGTGCGCAGATGAGCCTGGTGCTCGAACCTCCTGCCTGCCTGATGATGGGGCCTGAGACCCTGCCTGCCTGAGCACGTTCTCCCCCTTCTTCCTTCTCTCCCTGGTCCTGCATCCGTAGGAGCCACGCCGAGCCACCTCCTGATCCACGCCTGCCCCCGCAGAGCTGCCTCCTGCTCCTACCCACCCCCAAGCGAGGAGGGCAGAAAGCCGCTGTGAGCCGTAGGACCAACATGCACATATTTGTCGAATCTGGGCTCCGGGTGAGTGCTCCCACCAGGGGTGGCGGGTGAGGTGGGTGAGGCGAGTGAGGTGGGTGAGTGCTCCTGCCTGGGTGAGGTGGGTGAGTGCTCCCGCCCGGGGGAGGCAGGTGAGGTGGGTGAGTGCTCCTGCCCAGGGGAGGCGGGTGAGGTGGGTGAGTGCTCCCTGCCTGAGGAGGCGAGTGAGGCAGGTGAGTGCTCCAGCCCAGGGGAGGCAACCTGCAGGCTGGGGCCAGTGCGCACCCCCTCCCTCCTGCTGCTTGATCGCATCAATGGCATTTCTTGAAGCAGGAGGAGGGGCAGCCTGGATAGCTGCCCCCCTGGTGGGGTGGCATTTTCTCAGAAATAAGCTTCGCTGGTAGATGTGGTTTTTCCATCACCAGGATTTCCCAGGTATCTCCCTCTTCCTCTCCCACCCCCAGAGCTAGTTCCCCAAACAAAGATGGCTCCCTGGCTTGGCCGGCAGCCTCTCGCTCTTCTGTGGGGTCCCAGCATGTAGTGACCCTCTCCGAGCTGTCCTCTTCAGCCCCATGGCTCTTCCTAAGTCAAGGCCTTTTCCTCCTTTAGCTGTTGCACATGAGCCTGAAGCGGTCAAAGGTCAACTCCTCTGATGAGCATGTGCTTGAGATGTTGGACCCTTTCACGCCGCTGCTAATTGATTGCCTCAAGTCCAGAGAAGCCAAGGTGAGGCCGACTTGAAATCCCCATAGGGGTCCTAGGTCAGAGGTACACAGCCAAAGGGACCTTAGAGGCCGCCTGGAAGCTGAGGCTGGGTGCCGTAGGGAGTGAGCGGCAGAGGGGGCCTGGAACCCTGGCCCCAATTCCATGGCTACCCTCTGTCCACTGGCCGTGCTGCCTGCTGGGGGAGAGGGTGGTGTTGGGGAGGCAGTGGCCCCAAAAGCTCCTCCATCCTCTAACCTGTCTCAGCCAACACAGCATTGCTCTGCTCCTAATTCTTCAGCCGGGAACAGAGGCGTTTTGACTCTGCTCACGTATGGAGGCAGCTGAGCATCTGTCCCCTTCAGTCTTCGTGTCTTAGCCTGGCACTGAGGCCGGATGCTCCCACGAGGCCAAAGAGCTTCTATTTGGGGATTTCCAGTCACTAGCTGTGAGCCACAATGATGGGAACGTTGAATTGTGCTGCCAAATAGAGACCATGGGGTCAGCCTCAGGCCTCATCAAGCCCAATCCCTCTGTTTTACAGAAGAGGAAACTGAGGCCCAGGGAGGGGCTGACTGGGGCCACACAGACAGTGCCTGCCAGTCAGCAGCAGCACGGCTTCAAAGCCTAGCTTTCCTAAGTCCAAACTGACTTTTCTCAGCATCATCTCAGGCTTCCCACTGTTAGGTGCTGTTTTCAGAGCCGAGTGTTTCTGTCCATTCAGTAACCATTGTTATCACTGTTCCTTGGATTTATATTATACAGAGCAACTCTGAGCATTTAACAAATGGTCATTGCGTTTTCTGCTTTTCTGTCACCCTCATTTCGGAGCCCTTCCCAGTGAGGCACAGGAATCCTCAAATGATTGAAAACGCAGAGTAAAGAAAGCGAGAGGAAGGACACACAGCACACCCTGCAGAGCCCCCAGGGGTGTGCCAGCCCCCAGGGGTGTGCCTGCCCCTGGGCCCAGAAAGGAGGGGGAGGCCATGGGCTTGGGAGTCTGAGCATTCAGGGGATTGGATTTCTCAGTACAGGTAGTGATGAGCTTGGGTTCTGTGAGCAGGGCCACGTGGGGAGGGAGCCGACCAGGGCTTTGTTTTCTTGGCTTTTGCCTGTGCTGCTGTTTATCTGAGGCCTCAAGTCACCCCTGTGAAAGAACGCAGTTAGGCCAGATGCACCATTCAAGCTCTTTGGTAATCCTGCACTCTGTCATCGAGGTGCTAGATGGGTCAGTTTGGTAGCTTAGAGCACCTTTTGGAAGTGGGTTTTAAACATACTAGGTGGGCCTTACCGCAAGTTAGCTGCCTTCCCAAGGGCCATTTGGGTGGCGATGAAAGTGTCCTTCAATAGCACGAGGTGGTAGGACGCTGGACGCCGCTTGTGGCTGCAGATGTTTACCTCCTTTGCCTTTCTGCTGCCGTGGAGGGAGAGCCTGGTGCTGTAAGATTGGGGTGAACTGAGCTAAGAGGGCCCGGGAGCTGCCCCTTCCCTTTAGGACCCCCGAGGCCAAACTGGCTTCCTGAGACGGGGGTCCTGGTTTAGCGTCATAGAACTGAGCGCTGCCTGGGTGGTCAGAGGCCCTCTGGGCCAAGCAGACTGCAGGCCAGAGGGAGAAGTACCTTCCCCGCGGGAAGGTCTGTCACCTTCCCTGGCAGGAGGCCGTGCTTCCAGGAATGTGTCCTTGGTCCCGATGGGTAGGCAGGATTGCTGCATTCTTAGGACACAGCACAGTCCTCAGGGCCAGCGTTGTAGAGATGCCCCCCAGCCTCCCTGCAGGGCAGGCTCAGCGGTGACACAGTAAATGAGCCCCCTCCTTGACTGGTCTGTGGATGAGGAGCATTTGGGACACTCCGCAGAAGGGACGGAGGGCTTCCTGTCTGGGCTGGTGTCGCCACACAGAAGGCACTTAGCAACAAGGGGATTGTGGTGCCCCCTGAGTCATCGCGCCCTCGCCCCCCAAAACGTCAGCTTCGTACTGGGGGGCTGCGCTCCGTGTTTTGTGTCTGCCCACACGTGCCTGGTGTGTTGTTGGCAGAGGTAGTGCCTAGGCCTGTGATTGCGCCCCTCTCGTCTGTACCCCACTCTCTTGGGGCTGCGCAGGGCTCTGAGAGGTATGTGACTGCCCGGCTCCCCTGAACGTGGAGCGTGGGCCCGGGCCGGCCGAGTCCGGGCGCCTCTCCGCTCCCCCCGCCAGGGGCCCGGGGCTTGTGCTTCCCTCCCTCTCCCCTGACTTTTGTCTCCAGGTCATCACGGGTGCTTTACAGTCTCTCATCTGGGTGCTGAAGTTCCCCCTGCCTTCCATCACGAAGAACTCAGAGAAGCTTACCAAGCAGCTCTTCCTCCTGCTCAAAGACTACGCCAGGCTCGGGGCCGCCAAAGGCCAGAACTTCCACCTGGTTGTCAACTGTTTCAAGGTGAGGGGGAGAGGGAGAAGACCCCGCGGGGGGCCAGCAGGCTCTGTGCTGTTCAAGGAAGGGGCGAGCAGAGAAAGCTCAGAGGCTTTAGCCTAACCTCTGTGTTTTGTGGTCAAGGAAACAGCCTCTTCAGAGCCGAGCAGTTCACCCACCGCTTTGCTCGGCCCTTCTCTGGGATCTCAGCCCATCACGTACTTGCGTCTTCCCTTTTCCATCTGAAAATCGATGCTTTCGTGGCGGTTGTGCTGGGCCTTTGAGCCCTTCCCAGGCCGGTTGCCCATTTCCTGTCTTTGCTCCTCTCCTCGTACCCTGCCATCCAGCAGCCCTGGTGTGATGGCTGCTCCTCTTATGGGACTCATGATAGGACATCTTTCCTGGTGTCATTCTTCTGATGCCACCTCCTGTCCCCTCAGCCTCCCCTACCCCCCATCTGTTCCATGTGTACGTTGTCATTCTTTCTGTGTTGTCTGAGCTCTTTGACAGGGCCTGATTCTGCCTCTTTTTATGTGCCCAATGCTTAGCACAGCCGCCTGTAAAGCCCTGAATAAATGCTTGTCACCAGATTGATTTATAGGGCGCGCTGTTAATCCTGGTGCAACTGGGTTTTCCTTTTCAGTGTGTGACCATCCTTGTGAAGAAGGTCAAGTCCCACAAGATCACGGAGAAGCAGCTCCAGGTCCTGCTGGCCTATGCCGAGGAGGACATCTATGACTCGTCGCGACAGGCCACCGCGTTTGGTCTCCTGAAGGTGCGCTGGCTCCAGGCGCTAGGAAATTCCCATTCTTTGTTTTAGGATAATGGGGGGAAATCTTTTGTCTTAGCAAGACGCTTGTGGGCTTGTGGCTAGATGTTTACTGCCTGGACAAACTCTGTAGCTGACATTGATTTCAGCTTCTTAAATTAGCTATTTGAGCAGCTTAAGAACTTTGGAGAGCTGGTCGTCTGTAACTGTCTTATGCTTTTGTCTGCTCTGATCCCTGTCGCTAGAATGGAGGCTCAATGAGGCATGTCAGGCACGCTCACGAGGTCTTCCCTGCTTCTCTGTATCATCATATCCATTGTTTCTTTTTTTTTTTTTTTTTTTTTTTTGGTGAGGCTTTTGGGGTTAAGTGACTTGCCCAGGGTCACACAGTTAGTGAGTGTTATGTGTCTGAGGCTGGATTTGTGCTCAGGTCCTCCTGACTCCAGGGCCAGTGTTCTATCCACTGCGCCACCTAGCTGCCCCATATCCATTGTTTTTTATAGTGTAGTAACGTTCTGTGACATTCACATACCACAGTTTGTAGGGTTATTTCCCAGTTGATGAGCATCTACTTTGTTCCTGGTTCTTTGCTAACTCAGAAAAGGGTTGCTGTAAAGAATTGATGTACGTGGGGGCATTTTTTCCATCTTTGATCTCCTTGAGATATATGCCTGCTTGTGGAATTTCCAGGGCGAAAGCTATGGACATTTCAGTCACCCTGTTAGCATAATTCTTAATAATAATATGAATTGTTCAATAAAACTAAGTTACACTTTTCTTCTATTATCTTATTGCAACAGATGCAATCTTCTTAAATTCTTTAGGGTTTTTTAAATGAGTCTAAAAAACAAGCTTGTGGGCTTCAACATTGAAAGTGCATTTTCCCTTCTGTAGCAAAGTTGCAAAGTCTGTTTGTTCTATTATGTTTTAGGCCATTTTATCAAGAAAATTGATGGTCCCAGAAATTGATGCTGTCATGAAGAAAGTCTCCCAGTTTGCAATTACTGGACAAAGTGAACCAGTCAGAGTCCAGTGTAGACAGGTTTGTTCTAAAGAGTCCTTGCCATTCATTCTTGGTTTGGGTGTGATTTTTTTGTTTGCTTGCTTTGTTTTTGGTTGAGAGGTAATAACCAAGGTGTTATCTGACGGCCAGTGCATCAGCATGTTCACTCCCCAACCAGCGGGGTGGTCCCTGAATAATTAGAGCTTCTCTCAGCTACGAGAAGCACCTTTGGGGGTGGGCGGCTGCTTTTCCATTCTGGAGAACACGCATCAGTGCCTGCATTTTTGAGAGCTCCTTAAATGCATCGATAGTGTGACTCCTGATGTGAGAGGGAAAGGAGAAGGGGATGGAACGCATCTCTGGCACAATTTTCTTGGCTCCGTTGACAAGAGGGGGCAGAGAGGAGATAGAGCTCAGAGCCATAGCAAGCTCGGTCATCATGACTGAGGCACAGGAGAAGAACCCAAGACTTCCTGGGCTGGGGACAGACCTTCAGACAAGGGAAAGAAGGGGCAGGGTTGTGTGAGAGGAGGGAGAGACTTGGCCGTAGACTGGATGGGCAGCCAGAGGCCTTCTGCTGAAGCAAACCTGTGCTCTTCCCATCCCTTAGCCCAAGAAAGTTCCTCCCGCCCTGCCCTGCATTGCCCTCAGCCACGTGGCCCAGGCTCAGGGCGGCTGGGGTCAGGACATGATCCATTGCTGGGTCTCTGTGCTGCAGGCCCCAGGCCCTCCTGTGACTTGTGTTCATCTCGCATCAGCTTCCAGAGCCCAGGGTCGTCTCTGGGCCAAGACTGGAGGAGGACATGTGTGAGGGCCAATTCCTGGTTTTCATCACTTTTTTTTTCCCAGGTTTATCTGAAATACATCCTTGACTACCCTATTGGTTCCAAACTGAAGTCCAACTTGGAGTTCATGCTGGCTCAGCTGAAGTAAGTTAGAGCAGAGGCCTGAAACAAGGCTACAGCCACTGGGAAGATCTTGGGGTCCTACCTCTGGGGGCCTTATGGCTCCTTTTAGCGAGGAGGCTATGAAATAAAAAATAGATAAAATAATATATAAAATTTTATATATAAAATATATAAAACTTGTCCAAGGTACTTTCGGAGCCCAGTTTCCTCTGACCCCAGAATGACACTCTTTCCACTGTACCACACTGCCTTCTCCAGCAGTGGGCTTCCTTCCATCTAAGTGGGCCATCCTTTCAGGAAAAGGGCAGAGGGTAAGGCTTTATAAATCTCCAGGGAGGCTCTTCTGTTCTACTTGATTTTCTTGTTTAGTCTCCTACGGCATTTGCCCTCTAAATTGCTTTGAGGTCTGCTCTGATAAAACGTAAAAGCCGGTCCCCTTGTTTTATCTTAATTAGTGGGATGTGGAGAACTGGAGGGATAGTGTCCTTTTCCATGGTCCACGTGTCTGCCATCATAGAAAAGTTGTCTAGATAATCACTGATTACACGGTTGAATTGTGTTTGTTTGAGTAAGTGTTGATGATTTCCTAGCCTCAGCTGCCCACTGCCCATTGTCCTGACCAACATCTCACTAGCCTGTGTTCATGTAAATGGTTAGCCCTCCAAAGCCGGCCCTCGGTGGCTAAAGCTGCAGGTGGGAGAGCCTGTCCTGGAGGACCTGGCAGCCATCCAGCCCAACCCTGCCTTCACAGATGAGGAATCTGAGGCTTAGGGACTCTGAAATATATCTAAGGCACACAACAGCTGACAGTTTAAGGGATTAAAAATGAAGAAGTTGTATTAAAAATATTTAAGGAAACAATTGGGTTTTATCTTTAGTACCTTAAATTAAAGATTGAGGGGTGGGAGGCAGTAATGGAAACTGTGCGAGCAGGGGGAGTAAAATCCCAGAGAAGCAACATTAGGCTGGTGTCAGGAACAACCTCTTAATTTCTAGAGGCCTCTGGAAGTGTGACAGAATTAGGAGGTCACGGGACGCCACCTCTTAAAGCAGTGAGGGGCCTTAGAGGCTACCTAGTACAGCTCACTCTTCAGACTGAATTCAAGAGCTCAGGTAGCTTACCCGGCGTCCCACTGTCAAGTTGCTGACAAAGGCAGGTTCCAATGCAGGTCGTCCTGCTCCAAAGCCAGTCTTCTTCCACGGTCCCATACTACCTCTGTTGGAGGTCCAAGCTCGAGCCAGGGCTGGACATCTGCCATGCTGGGTCAAGTCTATAAACATTTATTATGTACCCTCTATGTGCCAGGCGTTGTGCTGAGCCCTGAGGTTACAAAGAAAGGCAAAAACAGTCCGTGCTCTCAGGGAGCTCACAGTCTAGTGGGAGAGACAGCAACATACAACTGCATTTGAGTGAGATCTATTCAGAGTAAATTGGATGTACTCTCAGAAGGAAGACATTGCGTTTGAGGAAGATTGGAAAAGGATTCTTGCAGAAGGTGGGATTTTTTAGCTGAGACTTGAGGAGAGGCAGCAGGTGGAGGGACGGAGAGAGAATCCTAGGCCTGGGGGACACTTTTCAGGTGGGTCGTGGACTCCACGGCCACGTTGGTCGCTTCTGACCCAGATTCTGTGATTTTTTTTTTTTTAATGAATAAATCTTGAAGATGCTAATGTCTGTGCTTACTGCCTCGGCCTTAGCTATGACTACGAGGCGGGAAGAGAATCTGCGTTGGAAATGATAGCCCACCTTTTCGAGACCTTCCCTCAGGTACTGTTTGTGAGGAGCGGAGCAGTGCTGATGTGTGAACGGGGAGGCACGCGGATGTGCCGGTCCACAACGTGCCACTCCCTTTCTCTTCCTGCAGGGACTGCTCCACGAGAACTGTGGGCTCTTCTTTGTGCCCCTTTGTCTCATGATGATCAATGACAACTCCCCCAAGTGCAAGAGAATGGCTTCCATGGCCATCAAGCTGCTGCTCAGCAAGGTCAGCCTGGAGAACAAGGACCTGATGTACGTGCTCGTGCTCAAATGGTTTGGGAGTCAGAAGGTAGGGAGTGTTCCGGCGTGTTCTGTGTAGGGCCCTCTGTGACCCAACCCGCTGTGGGGAGGTGGGGCCCTCAGGGAGGCGTCTGGCCACTGTGCACGTCACTGGGGAGGGAGCCGGGCTGTGGGCCGGCCTCATGTTCTCTGGGCGGCTTGGGTCTTTCTCCTGTGTGCAGTGACAATGGCCCCTGAGGGCCCTTCCAGCCCTAGGTCCACCTCTCGTGACCTCCTTCCTCTCGATGTGCTTTGTATATACCTACATATTCTCTGTTCACACCATCCCCCTGATAAAATGGGGGCTCCTTGAGGGCATCTGTCTTCATATCCCCAGCACCCTGCACTGTGCCTGGTGCACAGCAGACGCTCAATCAGTGCCTGCTTGTTGGATCAGTTGATTGCACTGTGTTGGTGCAGGCAGTTAGCTTCCTCACCCTGGAATTTGTCACAGCCATGCAGTCACAGGTCTGGGCCCCGACTTGTAAAACATCCCAGAAAATGCACCACATCGGTGGGAATGCCTGTTTCCCAGTCTGTGTCAGTTGGGCTGCCTGCCGTGGAGTTGTCAGAAGGTCTTACGGATCCTCTGACCCTACGGTGGCCCCCTGACGGTCGTGGGCCTTCTTTCCCACTGGCAGAGTCTGCAGAAGCGCTTGGCTGCCCAGACCTGCGGCTTGTTTGTGGAGGCCGAAGGTGTGGCTTTCGAGAGGAGATTCGGGACGGTCCTCCCTGTGATCGAGAGAGAGCTTGAGCCTTCCCAGCTCCGAGATGTAAGTTGTCTGCTGTGTATGTGTTTTTGGTTTAGACAATAAAACTCTATCTCTAGTTTTATCAGGAGGGGTTATCCCTCCTGATACAGGTGCCAAGTGTGTTAGCATTCGGAAAATCCAAGTTGAAAACCAGGTTGGTTCCCTTTCTCTCTGTCCTCTCCCTTAGTGAGCTTATCCAGTCTCAGCTTCAGCTGTCATTTCTCTTCATGTTAGTAGTTTTGTTTCTTCCCACAGTTCAGCCTTCGTCCTCTTGGGACTTTGCAGGCCACAGCAGCCCTCCCTGGGCACCGCTCACCTCGTGTGCGTTGTCTTCCCTATTAGAGCTGGGGCCATCCTGCTTCTGATTTATGTTTGTGTCCCACTAGCACTGACCACCATACCTGGTGGACACTATGAGCTTAATAAATGCTCATCCGTGTGTCCCTCCTTCAGTCCTGCCATCTTGCCTTTGCATTTTATTTACGCTTCCATGAATGAAATAAAATGAAGGGGCTGGACTGAGAGAATATTATGATCCTGAGGCCTTTTGCAGGAACTACATTACTCTCTGTACATTCATATTATCCAACGTATCATTGGCCTTTAAGAAATATTCCATAGTAATAAAAACGAGAAGGTAGGCATTTCTTAAAACTAAATTTCCATTTCATTATTATATTGAAATTTTCAAAGAGAGGCATTGTGGCCTGATGGGTAGAATCCAGATTCAAAGCCTAGAAGGATGACATTGAGAGGCCCATTTCTGACCCATCCCATCTGTGTGACCCTGGGAAAGTCCTCACCTGAGGGTTTTCTCAAGGTCAGTGGAGGCCAATCGTTGTCCCAGACTCGGTTATTTTGAAGAGATATGGGGGTTCTTTTTTGGCATACATTGAATGCCCTCACAGTTTTAGTAGTCGGATTGCTGAGACACACGCTGCCTTGTCTAGTCCTGGCTCAGAATGACCTCATTCACACTTGGGTTTGTTTTTTAGCTCATTGAAGAAACTGATGAAAAAGCATCGGACCGACTTCTCTTTGGTTTTCTTACACTGATAACTAAACTCATCAAGGAATCCAATTTTCTTCAGCTCACCAAACACCCTGAGAGTCTGAACAACATTTGGAGTAAGTTGATTGTTCTGAGGTTGGCTGACTGACCACACGCATCCTTTATTCTTTGGCATAGAAGCTTTGAAGGCAGCAGTCAGAACCTGGCTGCTAGTCCCCCCGTGACCGATATTTCAGGGCTGAGTCTGAGTCCTTTCTGGTCTTCCTTGCATGCTCAGAGCTCCCCTCGCCATTCAGGGGCCCTGCAGGGTCCGTTCAGGTTGGCATTTCTGTAGGGAGTGCCAGTGTGCTGTGCCAGCCACTGGGGCTGAAGGACGGCCAGCCAGGCAGGCATTCTGTAGGGGGAGACAATGTGTGTGTGCTCAAAGCCAAGACCAGAGTCACAAGTAGACCCACAGGAATTGGGAGGGAGAGGCAGCCTCTGGGTCAAGGAGCAGGAGGGTCACAGTTCGAGGGCTGGATGGGATGGACCTTAGAGGCCGTCTACTCCCATCCCTTCATTTCGTGGATGGAGAAGCTGAGGCCCAAGGTATGAGGACAGCAGTCAGGAGATGAAGCCAAGTCCTCTTTCTCCAGAGGTCCTTCTCTTTCCTCAGTCCCAGGCAGCCTCTCAGAACCTAAAACCTTTTATGTGTCTGTGCCTCGTCAAAGCCTTTTTGTGAGGAAACACAGTGGGACTGTGATAGCGTAGGTCACAGGGCCCAAGCTGGAAGGAACCTCAGAGGGCTTTGGGTCCTTCATTTATGGGGATAAAAAGTGACTTTTCCAGTCGTGATGAACTCACAGGTCCAGACCCTGTCTCTTGTAGTATTCATGGATATAAGGTGTCCCCAAAGCTTGCTTGTACAATGTGTGTGTGCCTCTGTGTCTATGCCTATGTATGTACACACACACGCATGTACACACACACACACCCATACACACACCAGTTTTTTACCTAGCTTGTGGATGGACAGACAAAACGCCATGACCTCCATAACTGTAGAAATGGCCATGATGTTTTTAGCGTCTTCGTCGTCCTTATATCAAGCTCTCCAGGGTCAGTTAGGATGGATGCTGTACCTTCCCTCAAAGAAGATGTCAGCGGAGCCCCATAATTCCCCACTCCCCTGGGCAGGCAACAAAGAAGAAGAGAATGTCTTTGCTTTCCCACAGATCACATCCAGTCCCATCTGTCCCACCCCCACAGCTGGGTGTGGCTCACTTCAGCCCAGATTTTTGGATTATTGTTCGCCTCTTGCAAACCAGAAGAACTGATTAAGAGATGGGTGACCCAGAAGTCTGAGAAGAAACAGTCAGGCCCGGTGGCCGTGAACTTCCTAACCAGAGACCTGGATCAGAAGGTGAGGTGTCGAGGGGGGGTCACGGGAAAGCTCCTTCCCCCACACCATCTTCCTAAAGGCACTTGTTTGGCCCGACAGAATCATTCTCACAGCACTTGGCAGTGTGGAAAGTGTTCTGTATGGGACGGAGAAGAAACTGTAAAACTCCATAAAACAGAAGTCCCAGGCACCAACCAGGGTTATGCCGATCATCATTCTAATTGTATGTCTTTGCGTTCACGGGCTTATTGTCATCTTTATAAAAGCCCTTGTTCCGGTTTGACACACAGTAGGTGCTTAATAGATCCTCGCTGGTAGATGGATTGGCTAACTGATATTTATTTAAGCAGCCCTTAGAAGTGTGCCGAGCACTTTGTATACATTGTTTCATGGGCAGCTATATCAGTAATGAGCTGTTATTACTGTTAATGCTCACAGTGTCCCTGACAGGCAAATGCTACTGCTATTAATGTCCTCATTTTACCGATGAGGAAGCTGAGGCCTGGTGACTTGTGCGGGGTCCGACAGCCTGTACATGTCCAGAGGTGGAAGTCAAACCAGAGCTTGCTCGTTCAGGCCCAGCTTGGTCCTCCTGATCAGGTTCATGGCCTCCTCTGTTGGTGTAAAGGGTCTCTCTGAACCTGTGAAAAGAAGGAGCGTTTATGAAGCACTTTGTGCGCAGCTCTGGAGTTGGGGGCTTGTTGTTTGCCATTGGTGGTCAGCAGTCGTGGGGAGCGCTGTGTCTAAGACAGCCCTGGCCTTTCTTGTCATTTCAGATGAAGAGACTGGCTTTAGCTTTTTGCTTTCAGTTGCAGTCGAAGTTTTTGGATCAGTCTCTGGGAGAACAGGTAGGAATGAGACACCCCTGAAGAAGCCAGCTCTGTTGTGTCTTGGGTGGAGAAGGGGCCTGGCTGCCGATTCGCGCACGTCTCCAAGGCACGTCGCCTTGAGGGCTTTCGCTCTGGAAGCTCCTTCCCTGGAAAGCAACTGTTCCCTACAGGCCTTCTCTGCTCGTGAAGCAGGAATGCCGGTCACTCATCTCACACAGCTGGGACATCATTAGGTAGCCCATATAATAAAGAATTGGAACCCTAGGCTTGGTTGGAGCACTTTCCATAGAGGGTTTCCTCAGATCTCGTGACTGCCCTAGGAGGGAGGTGCTGTCATACCCCTTTTACGGGTGAGGAAACTGAGGCAGGCAAAGGTTAAGTGACTTACCCAGGGTCACACAGCTAAGAGGTGTCTGCAGGCAGATTTGAACTTAGGTCTTCCTGAATTCAGGCCCAGTGCTCTGTCCATGGCTTCACCTAGCTGTCTCTGCTTGGCCCTTTGTAAAGTAAATCTAGGTAAGAAAATCCCACTCTGTCTGCCTTTGGTGTAACAGGTAGTTATAGCAAGCTGACCCTGGTTATGGTGGCGAAAGGCATCATACAGCCAGGCCAGGCCAGGGCACCTGTGAGAAAGTCACTGTACAAGTCTGGGGAGGGAGAACCCACCCCAGTGAAATCATGGGGGCCTTCTGGAGACAGTAGGAAGCTGACGTGGACTTTCCTTTCTTTTTTTTCTGAAGATTGTTAAGAATTTGTTGTTTGTTGCCAAAGTCATCTATCTTCTGGCACTCCACGCGGAGGAGAAGAAAGGTGCCTCCGAGGTGAACGCAGAGGCACCTGCCCCAGAAACATCCCAGACCGCGTCCCAGACCGAGGGTGGTGAGGGTGATGCGGGGAGGGCCGAAAAAGCGTCTGACGGTGAAGGTGAAGAGGCTGGGACGGAAGAGAAGGAGGGGGCAGAGGAAGCGCAAGACAGACCCGCCAACCTGTACTGGCTGATCCACAAGCTGTCCATCACGGCCAAACGAGAAGCCGCATATTCGCCCAAAAATCCCTTGAAGGTGAGACAGATGGGGCCACCCCCAGGTCTCTGAGCCTGCGGTTGAAAGAGAACTTGTTCTGCAAGGACGGGGTAACTTGTGCTTTCAGTGGCTGATTTCCTCAGGGTTGTGTGTATAAAAAGCCCTTGTCCCAGTTTGACACACAGTAGGTGCTTAATAAGTCCTCACTGATAGATCGATTGACTAACTGATAGTAGTTTTTACAGCCCTTAGAAGTTTGCAGAGCACTTTGCATACATTATTTCACGGGCAGCTGTGTCAGTAATGAGCTGTTACTACTGTTAATGCTCACAGTGTCCCTGAGAGGCCAGTGCCTCTAAAAACGTGGTTCCAAGGAGGGCTTGTTTGCTTCAGCACCTGGAGGCCCTTGGGACACCCCGAGGGAGCCCCCGGGGGCTAGAGACACGGTCCTGTCTCACTCACCTGCTCGGCTTGGGGAGTGTCCCCCTTTTCTCCATCCCGCCGCCATCCGCTCACTCACTCATGATGGTCTGTGTTTTCAGAGAACCTGCATCTTTAAGTTCCTTGGCGCTCTGGCCATTGATCTGGGCCCCGACAAGGTCCGGCCTTTTCTCCCCATGATCCTCGCTCCGCTCTTCCGGGAGCTGAATAGCACCTACTCAGAGCAAGGTGAGAAGCCCTCTGGGGAAGGGCTCTGTGAATGAGGGAGGGGGGCAAAGGGCTTCACGGCAGGGTAGAGGGAAGCTCCCTCCGCAGACACGGGTCACCGCTCCAAAGACCTGCCCACGTCCCTCTGGGAGAACGTGTCTGCAGCAGCCTGGGCTCTGGACGTGGTCTGTCAGGCCACGTGGGGTCCTGTATGCAGTGTCCCACACCCGTGGTCCTTCACCTTGGCAAGGGCGGGAGGTGCATTCAGGGCCACACTTGGTCATTCCAGTCACCTGGCATGGCAGTTCCGTTGGTGCCTGTCCTTCTCCATTTCCTTCTCTTTGTCCCACTTCTCAGTCCTCCACGCCCGTCGGGGTGCTTGCCGGACCTCCTTTCTTATGGGGCAGCCAGATTTCCTCCCCTCTGTCCGTGTCTCACGACTCATTAGTCATTCCATGACTGATGGGCACCAGTCTCGTGCCTGTGAGATTCTGGCGGTGTGGGTCCTGTCGGGTCCTGGTGGCTGACGTAGCCACGCTCATTGCTTCGCAGAACGGCCCCTGACCTCTCGACAGGGGCCGTCCTGTCTTTTGGGCGCCATCTTTGGCGGGTGGCAGCGAGTGACCTCCGTGTCCATGTGTGTGCCTTTTTTAATGGGCAGACCCTGCGCTGAAGACCCTCTCCCAGGAAATCCTGGAGCTGCTGAAGAAGATGGTCGGCCTGGAGGCCTTCTCGTTGGCGTTCGCCTCCGTGCAGAAGCGGGCCCGGGAGAAGAGGGCGCTCCGCATCAGGCGGAAGGCCCTGCAGGTCAGCGCTGGCCCTTACCTCTGTCCACCCTCCCCCCAGGGTCCCCCGGGTCGGGGGCCCCACTCGATCCCATCTCCCTTTGTCTTTGCAGTTTGTGACTCATCCCGACATCGCTGCCAAGAAGAAGATCAAGAAGCACAAGAACAAGAGCGAGGCCAAGAAGAGGAAGATCGAGTTCCTGCGGCCAGGCTACAAGGCCAAGAGGCAGAGGAGCCACAGCCTGCGGGACCTGGCCATGGTGGAGTGAGGCCGGGGCCGCCCCGCACGCCAGGCGGGCCCCTGCAGCGTGTACAGTTCCCATGTCCAGAATGCCCACGATTTTAAACATTAAATACGCGCAGAGTTTTATACTGATGCTTGGTCTGGGTTTGTGTGTGTGCGTGTGCGTGTGTGTGCAGAGGAGCCAGCAGTCACAGCCAGCTGCATACTTAGACGAGATGCTCTTTCTCCTCTTGCGTTTGGTGTTAGAATTCACCTTTGCTGGGTTGTGGACCCTTTCGGAAGTTAGTCTGGTGAAGCTAAGGGCCCTCTTGTATGAACGTTCTGAAGTCATTGAATGAAATGCTCAGCTTCAGTTAATTTAGAGGTGGCCGAGATGGCATTTCTTTTTTCCTGTCCGAGCTCATAGACCCCCTGAAATCTCTCTGCTCTGCCCTTCCCATCATCCTGGGGGTCTCCGGTTAAGACCCTTTAATTTGGAACGTCTGCCTGTGAGATCTTGCTTCCTTCCTCAGTCTGAAACGAGGTCAGGTTGTACCACTACGAGGTGGTTTTTACTTCATCTCTTTGTGGGTGCTTCAATACAAATAGCGGTGTATAGTGATTCTAGTAACGGATGTGCAAACTCTGGGTTCAGCTCCCATCTGGGCAAGTCACTTTATGCTAATGATCCCTGTTACATGCACTTTACAATTATTAACTTACAGGTCCTCACAGCTACCCTGGGAGGTGTACCTATCTCCTATTATGACCCCAATTTCACAGATGAGGAAACTGAAGCATGCAGGGGTTCAGTGACTTGCCCAGCGTCATACACCTCCCAAGTGTCTGGCCCAGCACTCTGTGCATTATGGCGCCCCCTGGCAACCTCTTAAGAGAAGGTAGGAGTTTCGTCATCTGGAAGTTCCTTGGACCAATGAAACCAGAGACAGATCCAGTCATTGGCCATCTGTCCAATGTCAGATTCCAAAATCTGCCAGTCTCACTTCTACCTCAGACTTCTCATTGAACTTTGAAATGGCTTTGTGTTCTGGTGGTCCAGTTTAAAACTCTTGTCTCCACTGTCGGCTAACCTCAGTGACCCTTCCCCATGGCCAGTAGTAGTGGACCGTTTTGTACAGTGTTGTTGCTTGCCTGCCAGATGTCGTAATTGTCGTCTTGTATTTCTCCTCTTTGACCCAGTATGACTGACAGCCCAGTCAGCTAGCGGTGTGGCCCACCACACGCTAGCAAATCATCTTGTTTTTACTCTATATTTGCAAATGTTTTAACATTAAAATTGTATGTTTTATGCAAACGGTCTATGCGTGTGTTGCCTATATAAAAAAGTTTCTTTTCTCCTAATCCCTTTACCCCTCAGAGGTGGACCCAGCGTGTCCATTGAATACAATGGGAGAAGGAAATGTGGGGTACCTCGGTGCCAAGCCGATGCACCTCAAGGAGCTTTAAGAAAGGGGGATGTGGGGGCAGCTAGGTGGCATGGTGGATATAGCAATGGCCCTGAAGTCAGGAGGACCTGAGTTCAAATTCTGGCCTCAGACCAAATACTTTTTTTGGTTTGTTTTGCCAATCTGCTGGATGTGAGATGAAACCTCAGGGCTGTTTTGATTTGCATTTTTCTTATTGGAACATTCATATGGCTAATAGTATACAATTCTTTTGAGAACTGTTCATATCTGCAATATATTGTTAATAGTAACAATCATCTTAAGCATCCAATTTTTCCAGTTCATTATGCAATCACCTGTCCCCAAACAACATACTGGCAGAGTACAATGTAAGGTTTAACGATTTAGATACCAAATCCAACACTCCTTATTTATAGGGTTCAGAGCCACCTGACTTGCCTAAAGTCATACAGCCAGAGTTGGGATTAAGATATCCAGTTCTCCTGACTCCTTAATTCAAGGTTCTCAATACTGAATTGTGGGCATTTATACATCCTTTTTTCAGATTCTTGGGAACAGGCCCTAGGTATATACTTTCTGCCAGCCTAATTCATCAGGAACTCTTAAACCTCAAAGACTGAGGCTGGAGTTATACTAGGATTTACTGCAAGCTTATAGAGAGCAATTCAATTAATTAGCCTTCAATTAATCCAGAGGTGATCAGACCCAATTAGGAAATGGGGAAAGAATGAAGAAGTTGGGCCTTCTCCATGGCCCGTTTTAAGTATTGTCAATCTCCAGAAGTAGACCTAATTTGTATATGAATTTTGGGGATTACCCATTCCTGTTGGATTGTTTATTTTCTTTTGATGTGGATAATTAACAGCTTTAGAACTGGTTTGAAGAAGTCTACGCAAACTATGTTGAACTTAGGATTATTACTGCAAGAGATGAAACTTCATCTGAGAAGAGTTGTTCAGCCTCATCTCAAAGGTTAATGGGCAATTTACAAATTTAACTGATTCTATCCTATTGCCTGTCATCTCCCCTAATCCTGACTGTTTACATACCATCTCCAGGCACTCTACCACTGGATGCAACTGGTGTACCTATTACTATTAATACTCTTTCAGATATGAACAGTTCTCAAAAGAACTGCATACTATTAACCACGTGAATGTTCTAGCTCCCTAATGAAAAAAATGCAAATCAAGACAACCTCACATCTGCAAATTGGCAAAAAAACATGACAAATGTAACAGAAAGGGCTGGGTTTGGAGGAGGAATCTCACTTCTACTTCTGTGTGAGGTTAGGCAAGTCATTTTACCTCTGGTTTCAGTTTCCAAAACCTGTCAAAGGAAGGGGCTGACCTAGATGCCCTCTAAGGTCCCTTCTGATGGCTATGTATAGTATGTTTACAGTTACCAATCTGAAGAGGAGGAAGAGGCAAAAAGTGAGCCCCTGATTTATCAAGGAGGTAAGCAGCCTCCGAAGGGGTCCAGACCATTGCTCCACAACTCCTGTGTTATGGAGACAGGTCTTCTGCTAGGCTGCATGTAGCACTTTTCCTCCCCACGAGGCCTCTAGAATTCTTATTACAGATTTGAAAGGTAAGTCTAAGGCCTATGAACATATGCCTTCTCAGGGTTGTATGGGGTCAGTAAGGCTGAGACGGTCCAAAGGGTGAGATGCATCCTAGCACTGGCCCTGCCCCTCCCCCTCTACCAACCTCCACCCCCCCCAACAGTGGTTCTTTACTTTGCCCCATGCCTGGCCCAGCCTGACCACAGACAGCAGCACCATAAAATAATCCATTCTACAGTGACAGTTAGGATATTTATTAGTGTTTACAACAAACAAGCTACAGCCACTAACTCCAAAATTAAATTTTAATTCCAACAAGGATGCATTTTTCAAAAGGACCATAACCTGGCTAGAAATTCCATACAAATGGACAGATTCTACCTTGACGAAACAGGAAAACAAGGAAAGACTATATAATACAGAATAGACATTCAGTTGGTTCAATCAAGATGAGATATCCCTTGAACAAAAACTTTATTTTCGATATTACGAGTGTTTCAGTTAGTCCAGTATATGCCAGAAACTGCATTAACGTTTGGTGGTAGTGTGGAGCTCTTCGACTGTTCCAGAAGGGATGCGTGATGTCGCCTTCACTGGGTGACGCTACTGCCGGCTCTTCAACGTTTCTACTAACCTATGAGAAAAGAACGTGTTTTAGTGGAATAAGCTTCACACGTGCTCACCAGAGGACAGTGCGTACCTCTGTAATCCAGTCTTCTCTAAGGGCACATTTGAAACCTCTCAGCACATTCAGTATAATTGTGGCCACGAGGGTTCTGGCGCTGTAACACACAGAACACAGCAGCCCCCCGGGGAGTGCAAGAGTCAGTATCCTTACCTATGAAACGAGAGGAGTGGCCCGGCTCCCCCTCACCAGCTCTAAAATCCCACTCTTGCAATTTCTCGTCAGGAAATCTTACAGGGGAGGTTAGGGGTTCGATCTTTGTGGGCCAGTTAGCGCGGCACCACTCTGTGATGGGAGGCCACATTTCTAGGAGGCAGACTTCCAATCAGAGGGCGGGACCAGGCCAGAAAGAAGGAGCACATCACTAGCGCCATCAACACAACTGAAAGCTTCTACAAAGTGATACTTGCCATTCCATCGCCTCATCAAGGCCAGTGCCTTTAGTTGCAGATGTTTTGAAAATCTGCCATTTTCGGTCCTTCAAGGCAGGGAGCCCGAGTGAATTGGCCATCTCTGTGGGAGTCATGGCCTGTTCCATGTCCTGTTTGTTTGCAAACACCACTAAAATCGCTTTCCTTAGTTCTTCTTCCTACAGAGAAGACGTAAATACAACAATTCACATTTGTTTCACAAGTACAGTCCCAAGTGATAAATCCGGCCCCTTTACTCTTAATAAATCTTGTTTTTTAATGCAACTGAAGGAAGGTTTGAGGTCAAACCATCAAACCAAATGTGCCCTTACAGAAGACAGGCCAGATTCTAACGAGTCAAACTCCATTACTACAAATATCCTTCCTACAAAGGTTTTTGTGTAATAAGAGATCAGACAATTTGATGGACTCCTCCTTAGAAGCAGTTATTTAATCTCATAAATGCCTAATCCAAAGAGTGAATTGGAATAATTTCTTGTACCTCTAACAGAATTTTATTTTCCTTCAAGTTCTTATAAATATGACACTACCTCATGAAAAAATTAAGTGAAAAGTGTTTTGTTTTTCTTTCTTAGTAGGGAGAGAGAATGCCTGTTAATTGAAAAAAATTTTTAAGAAATTAAAAGTGACATAAGCTGTAAAATTTGTAATTTCCACCTGGGAAGCAGCCGGCAGTAGTCTGACAATACTAGATAAGCCAATTCCATTCTTGGAAATATCCTTTTGTTTGGAAAACTTGTTCCTTCCTACATATATGATGGTTCAGACCCTACATAAGTACACCCAGTGGCTAATCCCATTTTCGAGAAAGTTTCCCTTTCAGCTGTATTAAATTTAAAAGTTTAACTGATGAATTTTAAAAACTATTACAATTTAAACATTTAAACAATGTTTAAATGAACTTGGCCTGACACCTAGCAGCGCCAACTTTTTGGACTTTTAGCTCTCTTTTCAGAAACACTTCGGAGAGGATATCAGATTCACAGAAGAAGCGTGAGGCCACACAGGACAGTGCAATGAGTGAGCACTGCCTGGGCCTCAGGGGA